CAAGAGCCCCTGGTGCCGAGCTCTCCGCTGCTCTGAGCATTGCCACGCAGCGCTTCACACCAGGCTCTTTCACAATTACACCCTCTTTTTTACTTCTGTTTCAGACTATTTAAAAAGAAAACAGAGGGATCTGTCATTGACTTTCATATCCAGTGCTGGGAGGGTGCAAGGCAACTATTATATATGTTATATTATATATCCACCCTCCTTCTTGGAGATACATTTTATATCTGCACCAAATGAAAATGTTTCTTTACACAGACAAGGGCTTGGTGTTATATCTTGTAGTTAATTGATACCATACATTTATCAGTGCGATTATACTCCTTTCTTGCTCTCCTCTCTCTCTTTTTTTTTTTTGCAGGCTGTGGCATTGCTATGCTGATCATCTCTGTTCTAATAGCCATATATTATAATATTATTCTGTGCTACACACTTTTCTACCTTTTTGCATCCTTTGTACCTGTATTACCTTGGGCTTCCTGTAACAATCCCTGGAACACACCAGACTGTAAAGATAAAAACAAACTTTTACTAGGTAAGTTGGGGTGTGTACTCCTATCGCTGTATAGTGTGTGTGGGACTTTTCCATACTGTTTAGATGAGGAAGGCTTATGTCGTGGATCTAAGAGGTCATGAGGGAGGAATACTGTGGTTTTTATTTGGGTGACATCAAGTTCTGTATCTCAGCGGAGGTATAGTTTGGTAAATTGGTCTAGTCAGCCATACGTGAAGTTTTCTTTGAGATCTGCAGGCTCATCTTTTCCCCACTGATTTTTCTTTTTTTCAAGACTGAAGTAGAAAAATGAAATAGGTTTTTTTTTCACCACAATAAAAATTCCAACTTTTCACATTGACTAACATTTCCTGGTTTTTCAATTAAAAAAGACAGACACCAGAAAGTTTCTATTCCACAAAAAGAAACTAGTTTTCAGCAGTTTTGTTTTTGATAAAAAAAAATAATGTTTAAATCTAATTCTTTTGGTTTTTGATAAAAATACAATTTAAAGTCCAATTCTTTTGGTTTTTGATAAAAAATATAATGTTTAACTCTAATTCTTTTTACTTAGTATAGTTTTTGAAATTGGAAATTTTGTTTAAAAGCTGAAAAAGCCTGAAAAAATTATAAAAGGTTAACCAAAAAATTCCCACAAAATAAATTGTTGGGTTTTTTTAACCAACCAAGTCTGTTCTATAATATTGTAGCACTTGCAAGGTCATCTTATGCTTCAAGGTTAAATGCAATTCAGTGCATTTAGACTGATAAGGCTACCGAAGACACTTCCTTATGCAATGGATCATTAAAATGACCATTTACTGATTACACCTTATTAATCACTGATATATAATCTTCATTGGTTAACAAAGCCATTTTGGGGGTGGAACAGGGAAGCCTGATGATGGGTGCATATTTCAGTCATTGACGCAGTATGAAGGAACCCAGGTGAACCAAATTTATGTATAGTGTAACCCCATTGATTACATTTCAGTTATATCAGCAATAAATCTTGCCCAAAGTGTGCAATCACTGCACAAGTTTTTCTATTGGCCTGCAGGGCTGAGTCAGATCTTTCGTTTTATGACTATGCGTGTTGTAGAAGCCGGATCCAAATGTCATTGACTTGGATCGCACCGTGAAATACCGCAGAATGAACGTTTTCATGTTTTCAAAGAAACTCGCTTATTCCATTTACGTATCTGATGAATATGCTTACTGAAAATAGTCTAGTTAATGGGACTGCAAGTGTGAATGCTCACTCGTTCAGTTCTCAGTAGTGGTAGTTAGGAATTAGGAAGCTACTTTTAAATGAATAATATTGACTTTTCATTCTGAATACCTGGTAGAAAAGAAATGGCAAATCTCATCAAATAACAGTAAATTCAACAAACTATCATCTATTGGTGAATGTATGAGTCACCAATCTAACAGAGAGGAAAAATGACTGAGTGTATTATTCCTTATGAGTTTATTTGCTCAGCTTTACAAATGTACAAGAAGCAGTAGGAACATAATAAGACATAAAGATGTTTGCTTTTAAGATTTAACCCCCTGCCACTCCCCATTCATTTAAAATGGATATAAAGGACTTAAATGAGGAGTCAGGCTAAGTAATTTAGCATTTGACCCTCTGCTATGAAGTCAGTGAAAATTGAAATATATATCTGTGCTTAATTCTGATTGGGATTACAGGCCAAATTCCAACCTGATGTAGTCAGACTTGGTTCAGTGGAGCTTGTGAATGCTTACGCTGCAGTCGAATTGATCCACAGAACAATCTGGGTCTTAGCTCTACTGTTCTGAAGTCCGCCTTTCACATCTATCTATGACCTCTAGATAGAAAACTCCTCTATTTCTTTATTGTGTCTCTTTATTCTTCACCTTGGAAAGATAGGTGATGAACTAGGTGTTAGTTGTATAAACTGAATGAAGGGGTTTCATGTATACACCTGAAAAACCTCAAAAACTCCCTTTCAAAACTGAATACCTAAAATATAACCCCTTCTCTGCTTAAATCATTTAATATCCTGTACTGACAAATGCTAAGAAAGCGTAGCCTGAATACAGTACTATGTCTCCATTTAGCAAAACACTTGAGCATGAGCTTAACTTTAGGCACAAGCAAGCAAGCTGCAGACAAGTGTCTGCTCCTGGTGTTTTAAGTTAAACATGGGCTTAGCACTTCGCTGAATCCAAAGGCTTTACATTTTAACGATATACCACAAACATGATTGGTTCCTACCTTACAGCTAATACCTTCCTACCTTTCTCATAGCTAAAATTTTATTGGTGAAACCAACTTCTCTGAAGAGATTATATTTTAGCTTGCCCTGCACAATGGAGAGATTTGGGATGTCTTAAAATATTAGCCCTGATAGGTGTTGGAAGCATACAAAATTCATATCAATGTTCTTATATGAAAAAACAAACACAGTTACTTCTGGAATGTAATTAAAGTGCTCTTCTGATCTAAAAATGTCTGCTTTTATTTATTAATAATTGCCCAAGTAAATGTAATTTTATGCTAACATCTTCCAATTTAGTCTAATCATTATTTCTCTTGTATGAGTGTTTGGCTTTGATGAATAACACTGCATACAAACAAATGAAGACTTCTTTGAGCATGGTTGCAGTGGATTAACATTGAAAGTACAACTGTGCCCTCTGCTGCTATCAAGTGAATAGTGCAGGAAAACCAAAGGCTTAAGAGAGCGAAGCTATAAACATTTAATGCTGTATGGAATTGCTGCAGTGCAGCAGAAGTGACCTTATGTGTCAATCACTCCCAACGCCTACTGTGATTCAATAAAAATAGGATGGTTTGCAGATAGATATGTAACCTAAGCATTTCTGTTGTAGCAAAGACTGCAAAGTTGCTACTTGTTTGTGTAATGTAGTCATATTGCTCAGTAAAGTGTATTTGCATCAGGAAAGGGAAGAAACAATTCTAGTGTTTATGTATGATTCATTTTCTGAGAGTATGAGTGAATGTTGACAGGGAGAGAGGGTACACACATGCACTCACACATACACTGAGGCTGCCATTGTATTGAAAGGTTTCCTTTAAATGTGAAGGATATTAATTATTATCACTGCATAGTGTTGCATGACTATGTATAGTAGTGGACTACTTTGTCCAGTTTTTCCACTGTAGTTTGAGAAAGAGAAACTGGAGAGGGTCTAGAGGCACACTTTGAAGATGATAAAGGGTTTTGAATACAAGGTGCACAAGACTGGAAGGAATAGGTATGTTTAGTTGGATGAAAACGGAATATGGTAGTAGGTTTCCATTATTTGAAAGGCTGCCTAAAAGGAGATCGAGAAACTGTTTTCTTTTGCCACAGAGGACAGGACACAAGGAATTAGGCTTAAATTACAGCAATGCATATTTCAATCAAATCTCAGGAAGAACTTTCTAACCATAGGAATAGTAAGACAATGGAACAAGCTGCCTATAAAAGTTATGGAATCTCCTTTATAGTTTTTCCAGAAGAGTCTGGATAAGCATCTGTCTGGGATGGTTTCGGAATAGCAAATCCTGCCTTCTGCACAGAGGATTGGAGTAGATGACACTTGAAGTCCTGTCCAACCCTCTGCCCTATGATTATAGCAGAGGAAGCAAATTTGGGATATAATCTGACAAATTACCATATATTTTCTCATGGGAGTTCCAGGTATAAAGGCCTTCACATCCACAAGCAGGTAGAAATGAGATAGGAAAGCATCAGGGGAGAAAGGCAATGACAACCTAATGACTCCCTCTGCTGGTTGCTTGCATTATGACAATACAAATTTCTGAGCAGTCTGAGTTTGCTTTTGAGCAACAACCTAAGCCCCCCAGTGGCAGCTATATTGATCAATGCCAAGGGGTAGTACGGGCTTCTTGCTGTGGCTGGATAACCTTCTTCATTTTATGTATTTTTTTTATTATTTTATCACAAATATCCTGTAACATTGGACAACTCATAGGTGACCCAATGCAGTAATTCCATCCAGGGTAACTGAGAGCACTAATTTATAATTGTGAAAGTTCTGAGTTAGGAAGTTGTTAAGCCTCAGTAGATTATATAGATACATAATGGGCATGTCTATATATGAACGTTTACTGCACAGTAAGCAAAATTACTGCACAGTAAGCAAAAATTACTGTGCAGTACAGGCTATATGTGCATGCCCATGCTGCACAGTAAATATGGTGACTTACACCAACTTGGGCATAAAGTTGATACCTGCATCATGCAGGTATCAAACTTGCACCTAATTAGTTACTGTGCAGTAATGCATGATGTCTTACTGCTCAGTAACACTGTGTTGTGTATGGACTGACTTGGGACTAATTTTAGTCCCATGTCAGTCCACACATAGTGTTATTGCATTTTAATGTCTGCACATGCAGATGCTGGCCTAAACCCGCTTACTGCACAGTAAATTACTGTATAGTAAATTTAATGCACAGTAAATGCACATGTAGACACGCCCAAAGGGTGTGTCTACCTGTGCATTAAGGTACTTTTTCTAATGCGCATTAAATTTAGTACCTCCAATATGAGGTACTAAAGAAATACGCATTAGGCTTCCTTAATGCGCAGTAATGAATTCGCATGGTTTTTACATGACACTTAAGGTATAGTAGCCTATTTTACTGCTCATTAACATAATTGCAGTTTTCTATGTGGTGCTTTAATGTGCAGTAAAATAGACTACTGCTCATTAAAGCGAATGTGAAGACACTCCCGATCTCTTTCGCATACACACCGTATAGACACACAAACACAGTATGTCAGATATCTCACGGCAAATCCATTTAGAAAATCTTCTTTTCTTACTCAAATTAAAGAACTATGGATTCACTTGTTTTTTTAACACATTGGTGACCTTTGCAATGTTTGGTAAAGCCAGTCATAAATGAAATCATAGAAGGTTTTGAGTCAAGCTATAATTACTTCAGGTCACATAATTTGGATCCAGAATGACTTTAAGATTTCTCCAGTTGGGGGTTTTCAGATCTTGAGTTTAACTGCATGTTATGGGAATATCTACGGAGTGACATCTAGCTCTGGATTCAAATTCCCACAAAATTGATCTCTAGGATTTTAGTTAGATAATTCTGTGGCTAAAATACAACCATGTTACCTTCTTTAACATTTATGGCAGTGTACTTTGAACCCAGTTGTCCTTCATAGTTAGCTTCTTGTTGGAAATGAGATTGTGTAATTTGTTTATGTGTGAGTGGATTGTCATCTATTTTAGTAGACAGAACAGAAGAGTTGAAAAGGAGAGTCCTGGGTTCTTTGCCCCTGCTTATCTATATGCCAGAATGAGTCACTTGGGGACTGAATCTGCATCCTTTGCTCAGTCATAATAGCTGTTGAATCAAATCCACAAATCTTTTTATATCTTATATTATCTGTCTGTGGAAAAAAGGATAACACCACCAGCTAAATGAGATGGACATTGCCCCTTCAGATGCACAGTTTAATTATAAGGGAATAATTTACAGTGGACTTTGCTTTCATAAATGCTAAAGAAAAGACACATGGTCAGGTCTCCTAAGCTGACTGCCCATAATAGACCTATTAGAGTGTCTAGCCAGGAGATAGTAGGGGAACCAGTCTTCAGTGAGCAGAGTGTCATCTTGGGATGCAATCTATTAGTGGAACAGATATGTGACTGATATACTGGTACAACTTACCCTGGTATTGGTTTTTCTTAACTTTGAGGGGGTAAGTTTGGTCCAGAGCTAGAGTGACTTCTACGGGCATCCAGGTTGTAGCCATATTGCCCTAGAGGCAAAAGGAATAAGAACTTGTGGTAGAGGTGATATCTTTTATTAGACCAACTAGATTTTTGCAAGGAGAAGGAAGGAAATATGACTACATCCCTCTTGCCACCAAGCAACTTCAAGGTACACTGTTCCAACTTTTCTCTGAGCCTAAAATGAACTGTTCCAAACAAGAGATTTTACCACATCTTTAACTCTCCTATAAAATATGAACCTTCATTTCTACCTAGAAGAATTTTTACAATCTTTTCTCCTATGCCTGATGAAGGGTGCTTGTGCCTGAAAGCTTGCAATTAAAGATTTTTCTTTTGCAAAAATCTAGTTGGTCTAATAAAAGATTCTCTACCTCGAGTCCTGATTCCTTTTGTACTGGCATAACGCTGTATGGCATGTATTAGCGTTGTATGTCTGCTCCACTTCTACCAGAGATTTTATAGTAAATACATTGTGTGTCTTTTCCTTTTGTAAAATGCTGTTTATAAAGTGCATTGTGATCCTTGAACAGACGGTGTTATAGAGAACAAATATATATTAATATAGTAATATATTATTAAATAGGCCTACCTAAAGCAAAATTTGCCTAAACTGCCCACCTGCACTAGAAAATAATTTAACTCTGTTCTTTTCTCCCTTTATTTGTATGTTTTCCTGATAGATTCCTGCATCATTGGTGACCACCCTAAAATACAAATCAAGAACTCTACTTTTTGTATGAGTGCCTATCCAAACTTGACAATGGTTAACTTCACCAGCCAAGGAAATAAAACGTTTGTCAGTGGAAGTGAAGAATATTTCAAGTAAGATCCCTGAAAAATGTTCAGTTCCTTTCCTGCTAGAGTTTGGTGATCACATGAAGTAGATCATATATGCAATAAATAATTGATCAGGGGAGTGATAATAAAACTATAACTACACACAGGCAATACTATGGACATTTAGATGTGAAGAATGATGGAGCCAAGTTTTAAGAGAGAAAAATATTTAAATTTTTCTGTTTGTAGAGTGCCTAGTGCAATAGAACCCTGGTCCATGATTAGCCCTCCTAAATCCCACTTCAGTGCAAATAATAATAATGAAGTAAAATTTACTGGATCCCTTGAAGTAGATGGGGAAAAAAAACCTTTCAGTACTATAAGCAATATCAAACTAGTATAAATGCTTTCAAGGATGGACTACTGCCTACTATCAGTGTCACTAACTTTTTGGCTCTTAGGTACTTTGCGTTGAAGATTTCTGCAGGGATTGAATATCCTGGTGAAATCAGGTGGCCCTTGGTACTGTCTCTCTTTCTGGCTTGGGTAATTGTATACCTATCCCTTGCTAAAGGAATCAAGACATCAGGAAAAGTAAGAATCTTTCTTTATAAACATAAATCAGTAACAGTGCACTAGGCTGTTTTTAAATTGGTAGTGCTATAGCCTAAGGTGCTGAATCTCTCAAAGGCACTGTCAGCATAAGCTATATGGGAACTGACTGGAAACTGAGCTTATTAAGAATTGTAAGTGGGAACAAGGACAAGCTGCAGGATAGAAGTGATACTTATAGCCATTGCTATTACAGGTGGGACATTTTGGGGAAGCTTCTTCCACATTGTGGGAACATTGTAGAGTGGAACGCATTGGATCCAAATATATTCCTTGTGTATTTAAGACTCCTGTTAACTTCAAGTAGGAATACTTGGTGCAGGACTAGGCAGCAGATGGCTGATTTAAGTAAATGTCAATTAAATTGTTTTACCAGGATTTTCTCCTAAATTTCTAATTAACCAGAAACTAATGGAATCAGCAAATTATTTTAGTTAGAAGTTCACAGGCTTCTTAGAAATCTACAGAGACTTTCAAAGATTTTAAATGATCTATTTTAATGTGTTTATCAGCTGTGCTTCTAATAAGCAAAAATGACATCTTTACATCTTTCTGCACAGTACACATTGTTAAAACCATACTAGTAGTTACAGTAGAAACACCTTCAGACATTAAAATTAAACCGTATCTCTAACATTACTAAAAGAAGAAAGTTTAAATCTCAGCCCAGAATTCCATTTCCTAGGAAGTACAATGGGAATTACAGACATTGCTGTGTACTTTTGAGGATTGCTTTTAGGACCTAACACCTCAGGGCATCCCTTTTCAAATGGATTTGGGTAGCAGCATACAGTAATCACTTCCTGATTATATTTTAGCTACTAATAACAGGATAGAATAGAAAATAAGCAGAAAACAAGTGGCCCAGGGAAAATCTGATTCTTTAAATGTCCTAACAAAGTGAGGAAATTTGCTCTCAAAATGCATGGGCAAAGTGTGAGAGGATCGAGAGAATAATCTGGGGTTTGCAGATGGTAAACAATACCATTTCTTTAAGTGAACCTAATGCTAATGAAAAATGCTGGCCCCACAGCACTGGGGACTGAAATCCTTTCATCACAGGTTCATCTGGGAAGGAATAAGGAAGCTTTGGGGCATTGCTAATGTGCCTCAAGCCTACTCTGTAGGTTCACCTCCTTGGTGGAAAAAAAGGTTGCCAGTTTCCAAGTCACTTAGGTTCTTGAGTTCCCTATTAATTTGGCTAGAAAGGGTGCCAGTTCTGTTAACGTTAGCTATATGGTTCTGTCACCTGCATAATCTGTCCACTAGGAACTGGACCAAGACTATAAACTAATTTAAAAGGACTGAATGCTCAGTTCATTGTGGTATTCTCCTTTATATGGAAAGTAGTAACGATTTAACTTAAATTGGTTAAGCGCATAGACACTCCTTAGTTAGGGTTACAAGATCCTATTTCAGTTTAGCTTAAATGGATTCCTGATTAAATTGAAATAAACTAGACAAAGTGTTTTTACACTTTTTAATATTAATTTAACTGAATGAGTTAAACAGGAGTACATAGACAAGACCTGGGAGATAGAAAACTCATTTTCTTGCTTCTTACACATCCAGTGTTTCTGAAGTCATTGGTTCCCATTAGTACCAGTACAGTTGATTGGTTTTATTGGGAAACAGCACATTAAATTGGGAACAGCAGTCATCTCAGATGACAGCAGCCACTATCCACTTTTCTTAAACAAAAATGAGAATTAAGTAAAGAAATGGAAAATTCTAGGTAAAAAGTGCAGCATCGTATTTTATTCTAATTACGATAATCAATAGGCTGTGATTGTAAGCTTTGCAGCTCATTGTTCCTTTTTGATAAATAATTAGTATTAATTGAAAATATTCATCATTGCACTTTTAGATCACACATGTACAGATTTGGGGGCTAATTCAACAATGTCTTTTCTCTCTCCTGCCACCTCACAATCTAGCTTATTTTTTAAATATTTTTTAAAGAAATGACTATCAAGGAACCTATTGTAAACAATTTTGTTCTAACAAGCAGCTCACCACTGTTTATTCATTAGCCATGCACATGTTATAGCAATATTAATTATGATTCATTCATCTAGCATTAATGTGCATGCCATCTGCAACTGCGTTGATGATTGTGTGTTCAGTGACTATGTTTTAATGAAATATGCCTCTGGTATCTTTAAAGTCTATTCAGATTTTAAGATTATACTCTTGTGTTTTCAAAAGATCTTTTTCTGTACACCCTATATTCAGAGCAAATCTATCATGTATATAGGGTAAGATTTAAAATATGTCTCAAGTGTTTTAGGCCCTGTTTTCAAAAGTGATGTAGGTGGACAGGTGTCTACCTCTCATTGGGTAGGTTTACACTGGTCTCACTGGTCTTGAGCCTGCTGCCAAAAAGACATATATATCCTACCCATTGCACTCTGCACACCCCAAACTGGAGCTGAGGTGGTGAGGAGCCTGGAGATTCCCCTGCCCCCAGCCCTGAATAACACTGTCAAGCAGGCTAGAGAGAGAGCTGCTTTTTTTCAGCAGTGGTTTCAGGATTCGTGTTGAGCCAATGTTGACATACCATTGATATGTGATGGAAATAACTATTTTACCACACATTTTAAATCTCTACATGTACACAGTGTAACAGTTCAGTGATGATGCCACAGAAATGATCCTGGTCTGCTCCCTCCCACTTTATATGCTTCAACTCTGAAAGTCAGGTGATAATGGTCCAGACTGCTGCTCTTGAGAGAGCCTGAGCTTCAGATTTTCATGTTAGTGTTGGGGACACCCCTCAGGCTGTCCTTACCACCTCATTTCAGGGTTGACACATGCAGAGTGGGAGTAAGGACTGAGGTTTATGTCTGTGGTGGCATTGCTGGGTACTCTGCCACCATGGTGCAGACATAACCCAAATGATACAGGGCAACATTTTTTGATTAAATGTATTATTTTGAGGAACTAATATAAACAAGAACGTTGTGATCTGTTTATGGGCAGTTTGCTGAAAGGAAGAGATGAAACTGATTCATCGTTTCATAGTTGTTAGGAGCTGGCAGGGACCTTGCAGATCATCAGGTCCAGTCCCGCTGCACTAGGCAGGAAAAGACACCTGGGGTCAAGTGACCCCAGTGAGGTGACTGTCCAGTCTCCTTTTGAAGATTTCCAGGGTAGGTGATTGCACCACCACTGGAGGGAGTTTATTCCACAGTCTGGACACCCTGACTGTGAAGAAGTTTTTCCTGATATTAAGCCTGAATCGGCCTTCCAGGAGTTTGTATCCAGGAGTTTGATAAGCAATTCGATTATCATGAGTAACTAGGGAGTTCTAGTCAATTAAATGTTTTAGTCATATATTGTGTCTTTGATGTCAATTACTTATATACCTCATAATAAACCTATTATACTTTGGAACAGTCACAATTTTACATTATCACTTGCACTGGAACAAAAATATCATTGTGGTCCTTCAATGCTTCATTCCTCTGCAATTTCCCAGAAGAGGTTTCATAAATAAAAGCTGGTGAGATACTGGGGTAAGAGAAGACTGCCTATACAGCAAGAGTTGAGGGTAGGGGCAAATGCTAATCCCAGTGAGGTTTCAAATAAGGGGGAAGCTAGGAAAATAGATTTACAACTCACTTCAATTCAGCAGGTAGAAGTTGAAGATCCGAGTTCCAAGGTGGGAAGCACTTCAAATCAGACTTGAGATCTTGATTTAGTCTTTTTATCTGACCAACTGGAACAATTTCACATGATAATCTGAATCTCTGGAATATTTCATAATTAATCCAAGAGATTAGATACATGGTGTCTGATCCCAATGTCACTAAAGTCAGTGTCACTCCTTTCACTGCTAATTTCAAATGAACTTTCTTTTCCTCATACATGAATGAATTTATTTCTTTTCTCTACATGAGTGAATTTCTTTCTCTACATGAATTAATTTATTTCCCCCATACATTTTCAAATGAACATCGCATTGGGCCAATACTTATTTAAATAGCGATGCATATTTATTAAGGGCCCCATAATTATTTAAATAGCGATACATATTTATTAAGAAGTGTAAACAAACACAATAACAAGAATCTTTCAGGGCTAGCCATTTACTGGAAAAAAATGTAGAGGAAGTTAGAGAATGAACCAAATACTTACCTAGTGTACATTGCTCATTTGACTCCCACAGAGCTAGGCCAGTTTCCCTCTGCTGGGGACCTGACTGGATATTTGAAATTGGATGAAAAATCCAACTTTTATTCCCATTCTCTCCTGACTCTGTCCCTTAACTGTCTAGTACCTCAGTACCCTGTGACTCAGCCTTTAATATCATTGCTATTGCCACTAGCAAGGAGAGCTATAAAAATGACAGCCTTGTCAGGTTTCTTGGGAAATAATCCTATTGTCTTTGCAGCCTGTGGCCAGTGTCTCTAATGCTGAATAATTTCTTTTTTCAGGGAAGAGTATAATACTCATACTTGATTTTTTTATATGGCTTCAAATAATCCAAACCAATAATCTTTTGTGGTGTTTCTAGGTGGTGTATTTTACTGCTACGTTCCCTTACGTGGTGCTTATCATCCTACTTGTCAGAGGAGTAACGTTGCCAGGAGCTGGGGCTGGAATTTGGTACTTCATCACGCCTAAATGGGAGAAACTAGTGGATGCAATGGTGGGCTTATTATTCCAGTTATAACACTCTGATTGGGTGAATAATTCATATAGATTTTTACTTACTGTATATTACAAATACATATGAGGTGTGCAAAACTGGTATTTTTATCTTGTCATGTTATCTGCACAGCCTTATTCACATCTTGTTAATGTGTTGTATATTTAATTATGCTACCATATAACCTGTTACATGGATATTTATCAGCTGTGTGTGCATGTACCTATGTCTGTGTATAAAGTACATGCAATGTCATATATATGTACATTATTTTATATTTTGTTGCAATATTTTATGAATATTTTACCTGAATCCCCAAAACAGAATGTTTCAGAGTAGATGTATGATAAATACTAAGAAAACAGAGAAGTAGGACAGGGTTAGAAAAGTTGGTTTCTGAATTGTCCTTTGTTATTTTATTGTACGCAGAATGCATTACACTTTCATGAATAGCACAACCTACTTACATGAAGTATAGTTTTATTTCTGTAAATGACTTCACATTTCCTGAAAGCAGATGCATTTTATTCACTAAAAATTAAGATTATTCTGAAACAGGATATCCTGCTTCAGTCGCTATCAGATATAGTCATATAACATTCTCTGCTCAATTATATTTCTGTATAAAACTGTGCTGATGTAGAACACCTGCATTCCTGATGCTACAGCTGTATTTTATGGATGAACAGATCTACTAACTGTCCAATGAAGGTTAAGGTTAATAGATTTGGCACCTAAATCCTAGTACTGGAAAAATCAACAGCATGTCTTAGGAAAGGGGTCATGTCTCCTTTCAAAATGGCTTCTTTTCCCTATACAATTACAAATTATGTTTAATAACTATTAGCTTATTTTTTATCATCATCATTGTTATTGTTATTAACTTCCTCCTCATCACCATTTACTAATTTGATGCTGACAACAGATAGGGCCTGAAGAGGGTGCTCAACCATAGAGGCATAATAGTGTAGGGTGAACTTCAGATATTAAATTCAAGTCTTAGGGAGAGATTGTTAGCCATATAAATTTGAAGACTAGGATTAATGAAATCTGTTAAGAAGTGTTAACAAGTCAGGAAATCAGCTGATTTTTCCAACATTTTAATAATCTTTCCCAATAGAAATTAGGTGCGATGTTAGTTGCATCTAGATCAGAGCTGGAAAATAGTTCCCTTGTGGTTGCATACTAAAAATTATTTGTTAATTAGCAGCTTCTGTGTGTTTGGCTTTTTGTTTTGTTTTTTAAATCCTGTGTTGTTGTGAGTAATAATACTTTTCCAAACAAAGTGCAAACATTTTACATTATAAGTATGAGCAGAATATTGAGACCCAACAGTGGGAAGTAAAGAGGGTGAGAACTTTTGTTAGCAAACTGAGGCTCTCTGAACATGTAAGTATGTGTCTAACCCTGTAAAACCCAGCACCATTTCTACCTGATAGACCTGATTAAGAAATAGAAATCTCCCTGTCATCTTTGCCATGTCATTTGAATGTGCTCAGTGAGATGAAACAACACACAGTTTACTTATGTGATCCTCACAAAAGATGGGTGTTGTTTGAATCTGAGGTTTGGCTTCAGACACACCTCCAATTTTTTCCCTTATCTAGTGAAGGGTTAGACTTCAAGGATAAGCAGGGGGAGGGGAGGAATGTGTGTGTGTGAATGGAGAAGAGGCAGGGAGATTTGTTTTTATAGAAACTACCTTAACCTTTTGGTATTCTCTGGGAATGACTCTATTGAGATATCAGACCTGGGGTGAGTATTGCAAGTTCCAAAGGGAAATATGCTATCAGCCTTTTGGTGATATAATAATTGTGATTTTTGTACCTCTTCCAAGCCAATTGCCATGCAACCAAACCTGGGAAAACTACTTTTAATTAGGTTTAGTGATTAGACCTTTCAGAAGACTCATTTCCCAATTAGCTAAATCAGCAGAGAGATTCCTGAAGTAGCTTATGAAAATCTTTCTGAAGTAGAATGAGAAATGCTGAGAGTTGAACAATTTTGGAAACCTGGCCCCACTTATTAGCCTAAATGGGACAACTGTTATTTTTTTAAGTATTTTTTTTCATAATCTTTGTTTAAAAAAATTAAAAAAATGAAGACATTTCTCAATATTAAGAAGTATAGTTGGTTGGAACACCTCCCCCCACCATGTATTTCTTGTGTTTTCATTGAAACATTTTTAATAAAGTGACTCAATATTGGCAAATTTTGACTAGCTCTACTAAAGATGAAGAAATATTTTGGAAAGCGCATCTAAAAAAACCCTTGCCCTAAACGCTTGGAGACTTGCTCATGTTGTTTAGAAAATCACTAATATTCTGTAGTACAGACAGTATCTGGGATTTTTACTTTTTTAGAATTCTTGAACCCAGGATGGGGGGAGGGAGTGGGGGGGCAAGGGGTATATATTTTGATTTTACTAAATTGGCTTGCAAGTGGTCACAATTTCCACTGAAACTCATACATTTAAAAGATGTTTTAACTGGCTTCTACTATGTGAAATATTCTATTAACCAGAATTTCCAGCCAGACAGGAAGGGGGAGGCAGGGAAGCTCTCATGTGGTGGCAACCACCACCTCCCTCCCCTGCCTCCCCTGCACTGCAGGGTTTTTCAAAAAGGTTGAAAACCCCTGCCTCAGATAACTGGAATTTTTAGATATCTGGCATCTCCCTTACCCCACTCATGCCAGTTAACACAGCTTTTACTGTACGAAATTTGGTTTGTACTGTATATTTTAACATAAAGTACAGCTAATTACTTACATCAAGAGAAGAATATTCCACTTCGAGTGGGTACCTGAAAGATGACCTAGTGGTATTGAATTACACTGTTTTCTTTGAACATGGCAAATCCATTCTATCTCATACAGAGCATTATTCACTGAATATTTATGCCTTCTCTCCCTGCCAAAGATTATATTCTGTTCTCAGTTAAGTGGCTTGTTCTTATTCGAGCTAAAGTTCAATTAATTCAAATGGATATCATCTAACTGAAGGCAGAATTTGTCCATAACTGTTTTCCTACTGACATTAGTTGCACTAGTATTGTTTAAAATATTTGCATGTTAAGCTCTCAACGGTAATATTAAGTACTGTTACTGATTTTTATGACTTTCCACAACCCTTTACCAAGGCAGAAACTGTTCTATCTTCTGTGCTTTCCTAGGTGTGGAAAGATGCTGCCACTCAGATTTTCTTCTCCTTATCTGCCGCATGGGGAGGTCTAATTACTCTCTCTTCCTATAACAAATTCCATAATAATTGTTACAGGTATGTAAGGATAAAGTCACTTAATATTATTAAAGACATGCCAGCATGTAGCTAGTTCCAAAATACACATTGTGCGTTTTGAAATCTGGTTGGAAAGGTCTACTATTTTATTATTGAGGGGGAGGGAGGTTTAATTTCAAAATCCACCACTTCCATGATGTGCACTGGGCTTCTCTTTGTCTCTTTTCACAATATGTTTTCATCATAAGCAGTCACTCATCTGGGAAACTGTCTAGGAACATAGGCATTATTCCACATCATGTTCATCTCTGCTGAAGAGCAAACCATGATTAAAATTAAGTGAAGGTTGTGAGATGTGTGTATAGTTTCTATTGTAGGGGGTGCCTTTCTTTAACAAAGCTAATTATTACACCTGCAGTTTCATTGCACAAAATTAACACTAAAAAAAACAACAAAGCAAAACTTGTTGAGCCACTAAGGTGGAGCATGTTTCCTTGACATCAGAAGATTTTTGCAAGAAAAAAATGGTATATACTATTCCCTCTCAGGAAATCTACTGAATAAATTCTTTCTTTTTTTCTTTTTAAAGAAAAGAAAAGTATTTACTAAAATTTATATAGTATCTATCAGAATTGGTAATTCATATGCTATTACAGTGCTCTGGCCCTCTTTCTTAATTAACAGTTTGTTATTTTGAGAGCCAATCATGCTTCCACAAGAGCATAACTTCCACTGATTTCATTGGGAATGAAGAGGTGCCTATTTGGGAAAGCATTTCTATTTAAAACAGAATTTCAGGGGAAAAGCAGGTGAGAAAACTCTAGTCTTTCACTTCTGGCAGCTCAGTAAAATATCTAAGTGATGAATTAAGGAGCATGGAAAATGTTTACTTGAAGTTTCAAACTAAATGTAAACTATCAAGATTAAAACATATTTTGATAGATCAAAAAAATCCTTGCCTACATTATTGGTAAAGAATTTATGGAAGTAAAATTGAGAAGCTTCGTATTTCTTATTGTTATAAGTTTAGGATATAGTCCGACTTAACAATTGCATTGAAATCTGGTGAATGTGTCATTAATATAACTAACTGCTATGGAATTATAAATTTGTATATTGAATCACCACCAGAGTCTATTTTTGTTGTTTTTGTTTTATTTAAAGACACTTCAGCTGATTAGTTATCCATTAAAGCATTATTAGTCATATCCAAATATACACACATTAAATCACAAATCGGTTTGACCCTGGTCAGCAGTCAGTTTCAAAGGCACTGACCTATACCTTCCATTACACCATTCAAGCCATCTGATGCTTTCAAATCAGTGGGCATTCTTCACTTTTCTTGGCTTAACAAGACACAGATGGTTAACCATTCTATTTTGCAGTATTATCTTCTATTTTGAGTGCAAGTAGGGGTGCAAAGCAAATTTATTTGATTATTTTACTATATCATAGTCATGTAATTCTTACATAGTGAGCACTGTACATTTTTATAAGAAGAAATTGAACATGAAGCATTTTTCTGTGTAATCATAACATTCTTATATATATGAGCCAGAGGGTATGCAGTCTACACTTAAAAGTTTTGTAAGATATTTTTTTTCTTCATTGTAAATGTGAAAAAATATTCTTTATTATGTCTTGATATGGCAGGCAAAATACATCTCAAGAAAATCTGAAAATGACAAACTGCTGATTCTTTGGGCCCTGATACATGTTCAAATTAAACCAGCTATAGGGTTCTTACATGTTTTGAAGCATTAACTTTGTAGCTGCTTGGCTCCTTTTATAGCTGCATAGTCATTTTTATGGTGTGATAATTACTTTGCACATGTGGCTGGGCTAAATTCATTACGCGATTTACCAGTTAATTGAGTAATATATATAACGTGTAGCAGGGGCCTTAGTCACTCATGGGTAAGAAGTCAGTGTTACCAACCCCCTTGGAATAGTGAATTAACTAGATTTTACTGTGTATTGATGCAGAATCATATTGCTCTTCACTGTTATGTTGTACTTGTGCCTGCATGCTCCAGTGGCTATCCAACTGTGCAAAACCCTTGTAACTTAACAGCCATGTATCTCACTTGCATTGCTGTGGTAGCATGCAGGTGTGCCTCACCCCCCCACCCCCCACTTTCCATGCATTCAGAATTTCCCCCCAAAAGTCAAATAGCTGCTTTTTGTTATGCTTCCAGAGCCCAATGCTGTTCTTGGTTCTGATCATGCTCAAATACAAAAAGGATTGTTGCACGGAGGAAGGTGGGCAACTGTTCCCTGCGCCCACAGGGGACAGGACCAGAAGTAATGAGTTTAAATTGCAAAATTACTTAGGTTAGATTTTAGAAAGAACTTTTTAACCATTAGGTCAATTAAGTAATGGAACAGATTATGTAGATGAGTTGAGAATCACCATCAATGGAATTTTTATGGGCAGGTCAGACAAACATTTTACTAGGATGATTTAGACAGGGATATTCATTCAGCAGGGGACTGGACTAGTTGGCTTTCTGGTATCCCTTCTAGAGATATTTTCTTTGATTCTGTCACAATCATAAGGAATCCTTGGGACATGCACCCAAAAACAGCATTTTTTTTCTTTCTCTGGAAAGGAGAGGGTGGGGCATTTGTTGCCTGTGGAGCAAGAAGAAGTTAGGTAGTGCATGATTTCACAGTGGCAATCTCTAGAAGTAGCCAGTGAAATGTAGATATATTCTGTTTTACTTTCTGGCCAGTTCATTCTAGCATTGCAAATGCAAATTTAATTTTTCTTTTTTTAGAGTTGTCTCCATTGACTTTTTTTTGTAAACTTTACAAACCTATCTATAATTGCACAAGGTTTCTTTAAACCTACTTTGTAACACACTCTAAATTTTATAAACTCCTTTATAGTCTCCCTGTTTCTGAAACAGCGCCAATGTTATTTCCCACTCCTCCTAATTCTGAGGATTATCCACAGCCAAAAGCCTTCCTTTGGAATATGATTAGCATACAGCGATCTCCTTCCAAGCAGAACATTATCTACTTTCAGCAGACTTGACGAATGATAATCTATTTAATACTATCTTGCTTAAGGAATGTTCCAGGAGGGACTCAAGGTGTTGTCAGCTCAGCATGGTTCTTGACAGCTTTCTAGATTGCTTTTCATTTTAGGCCTACTGAGTAAGCAAGATGGTAAGCAATTCAGTGCCAACTTGGAGAAAACTATTTTTCCCCCCCGAGTCTGAATTTTTGACAAATAGTTTGCTTATTCTTAAATCATAACAGTTTAAGTCAGAATCTCTCTCACACACTTGTATTAATGGCAGGATAGACAGTGTAGCCACTAGGTAAGATCTATGAAGAGGGATCATTACATATTCTTTTTTTCTTGTAAAGTCACATCTGCTTACAGAATAAGGCATATTGCTCAGGCACTCAAGTCTCTTGAGAGTGCTCCTTGCAACACTGAAAAATAATAAGCACAGTATCAAAAAGTATTTTAGAATGACTGCATGGAAGGGAGTGTACTTAGGGGAATGCACCTGGATTTGAAAGCTTTGACTTGAGTTGTCTGATTTAAATCCAGTAAAGACAGACAGCAGTTGAAAGTCTGATGCCTGTTTGGCAGCCTTCATGAAATGCATTAAACAGGAGAAAATCCCTGACTTTACTGCAATTCTTGATAGTTTCTTCAAGTTAATAACCCTTTTTCAAAGAACTGAAAAGGCATGCAGACTTAATGTACTTTTGAAGTTCCTGCTAGATTACTAGTGGGTCAATGAAAGGAAACTTGTACTCGTGCCTGCCTCTTGTTTCTTATCTGAAGACTTCCATCTCTGGGTCTTTCTCACATTTTAATCACACTAAATTCACTGGAGAAGGGATATGCAAGTGTTTGCATAGAAAATAATCCTTATTCTTATAGCTTGTGTATGAGAATGTACTGCATTTGGATCTCTCTCTTACTTATTATACCAAGCTGGCATATGCTTTTTCTCCTCAGGGACACGCTGATAGTAACATGTACCAACAGTGCCACAAGTATATTTGCTGGCTTTGTCATCTTTTCAGTTATTGGCTTCATGGCAAATGAACTTAAAGTAGATATTGAAGATGTGGCAGATCAAGGTACTGTACACTACTGTTGCATAACTTAGGTTGGATTCTGAAGTGCATGGTATAAATATCTTTAATGATATAGATGTTGCAATGCAAACATGTATTATTTGGACAGGGAACTACTAAGCCATCTATATGGGCCTTTAATACAGTTGCTGTGCTGAACTGTCCAGTACCACCCGGTGCCTGTGGGGTTTTCAAAATACTACAGTAAGCTATCTTGCTGTTTATGGGTAGAAGAAAAAAGAAACCTAACTAAATGACTGGTGATTTTAGACCCCTGCAAGATGAATTCAGATTAACCCACAGTCTCTCTAAGCAACCACCAACCCTCCTTGCTGCTTCTTTTTCTACTTCCTGAAGTCCAGTAACAAGTAAAAGGGTTCTTGACTTGAGATTTGAAGTGAGGGTACTGTGGATATGGTTGATAGAGATGAATGTGCATGACTTGGGAGTGTGAATAGGTAATTAAGTCCTGGGAGAGAGAGATAGGAAAGTAAAGATTTGTTGGATGAAAAAAAGGAACTGGGGAGAGGTTAGAATAGGAAAGACAGTACAGCTAAATGCTGACATTGGGGAGGTTAGCACCAGGTTAGATCACATTAAAAATGGCCACCCAATATAAGGTAAGTTTGGATCGGGGGTGTTGGGTGGATGTGGTGGGGGAAGTAGGCTTGTGGGGGATCAGGAGTCTAAAGGGAGATGGGGGGAAGTGGGATCTGCAGGGAGACTGGGAGGCAGGTGGGAGCCACAGGAGTGTTTGGGGGTGCAGGTGGCATCTGTGGGGGGCATGGAGGGGCAGGCGGGATCCATGGGAAGGATCAGGTGACATCCGTGGGAAGGCTTGGGGGTGCAGGGGAGGCATGTGGTGTCTGCAGAAGGGATTGGGGGTAGGCAGCAACTGCAGGGAGTTACCAGGGTCTGGGAGGGTTTGGTGGCATCAGGAGGGCTTGCAAGCTCTTCAAGGGAAGCTTAGGAGAACCAGGGGCTATTTTTAGCCCACTGAGACTCCCTTGTAAACCTACCCCTACATCTCTCCTGCCTCTTCCCCATACCGACGCTTACTTCCTCAGTTCCTAGCATTGGTGAGTGCTAATAAAACTGGCACCTGAAGTGGCTTGTGAGATGGGGGGTGATGTGGGTGGGGGAGAGGGGGGCTCTGGCTGGTCCACAGGTGTGGCTGCAAGTGGCATGGGGGGGCGTGCTAAAAATAGCCTGGTGCCAGGGGATGGGTAGGAAAAGCACAGCCCCAGGATGGGTCAGTAGCTGAGCTTTCCCACCCAGGGGCTGTGCAGGTAACTGTACAGAAGTTCCATTCACCAGTTTTACCTAGATTGATTAAATTTGAGTGTACATTCATCCAGGTCTATCTTAGCCTGGGTTCTGCCATTTTTAGAGAGGTCTGTGTGCACAGAACTTCTGTACTGTTACGGGTTTAGATTTGATTTCCAAACACTGAGATTGGTCTAAGTGTAATGTCTGCACATGGGCAAACTATGTTAGATTGGGTGGCTATTTTTAACCCTATCTAACCTCTCTCAAGCCTCCCCAAATGTGTGCACTTAGCCTGCATGTATTTCAAAACCCAGCAACTCCCTTTGCATTAAAGAATACCAAATGGTAGAACTTCTTAAAAAACACAGACATTTGGATAAGCTTTCCAGACTTTTTCTTGTTTGTGGTTGAATTTTGAATGACTGAGCAATTCCTGATTCAGTTTTATTAACATATTGTACTGACACACAATGTGTTGATGTCAGTGTAATTTATCTTTAATTTGTTCACAGATGTAAATTGCACAAGAACAGATATGACTGGCTTGTTTCTATGGACCTATGGACCATGAAACACATGCTGGTATATCTTAAACTAGTCCATAGTTACAGGAGATTTTTTTTTAGGGGGCAGCTTTACCTCAGAGTAAAAATAATTTGAGATGCAGGCATAATATATTCACACTTGTACAGTCTTTTCGTAAGTATATAAAGAGAATGGACACAGTATGATGGCCCTGCACCAAGTAAGTCATACTCTGAGATATAGTTACCTGGGGAAAAAATGTAGTAACTAGATATCTGCATAAATTACACCAGCATGTGAGTTGTGTCTGGCTCCCTCAGAATAACCCTTAGTTTGATCTGTTGAGAGCTGCTGAGTGTTACTATACAAATAACTAATAACAGTAACATCTGAGGAATAGAGTGCTGCCTTTACATTTAATGAAAGTAGCTTCAATCTGAGCAGTTATAGCACGTGACTGACGACCCTTTTGTTATAATTGCATCCAGGCTCCACAGCTTTGGTATGTTTTTTCCACCCAGAACATAATGGAATATGTGTAGCATCCTTGGCATACAGTATATCTTAAAGGTCTTTTTTTCATTCCAGTAATATTTGAATATGATGTGCTATTTTATGTTCTTTGGCTGTGGGCTAAGGATCTGTTTTTTACCCCAGTATACTTTTCCTATTCAGCAAGATTGCTTATCTGTTTGTTATATTAACTAATTTCCCTACTCTGAGTGGAAAGTGTGTGCGCGCATGTGTGCATGTGTCGTGCATGCATGTGTACATACACACACACACACATATATATACACATATATATATATATGTATGTGTATGCACACGCACACACACTTTCCACTCACAAAGTATGGAAAAAATGTGTGTATGTAGCTATATCTATATATCTATATCTATGTATGTGTGTATGTATATTTGTGTATGTGTATGTATATGTATGTGTGTGTGTGTGTGTGTGTGTGTGTATAACTATGTATGTATATATTTCTATTTGCTTGCCACACTTAAGATTTTGATGTCATCATTGTGCTTTGAGTATAACACTGTACTGGAAATATCTTTTTTTATCATCTCCTGTACTATTTTATGATCCACTAGCATTGAATTAAGCTCTGATGAAAATGATAAAAACATCCATTCAGAGGTAAAGGGATCTGTTAAATCAGGAGTGGCAAACTCATCCACCCGTGTGAGCCAGAAGAGCATCTCTGGTCTGGTCTGAGGGTCAGATCATGCCATCCCAGATCCAGTGCACAGGACTGATACAATGGAGTGCAATATATAGTATGCTCACTGTGCTGTAAGCAGTACCTATGGTGCCAGGTCCTGGAGCAGGACCTGTGCATGCTACACACATCACATGGACTGAGCTGACTATGCATACTGCATATGGCACAGAAAGCTGGCATGCCCTGTCAGACTGGTCCTGCATACTGGCTCTGGTACAGCCCAGTCCAGACCAGCTCCAGAGTCAGGATACAGGGTCCATCTCGCTCAAGTGTTACATGCAGCATGTGCTCTGGATAGACCTCTTGTGCTGCATGTAGTGGCCACGGCTCCAGGCCAGCCTACATGCAAGATCGGCTCTGTATGCCACCTGTGATGTGCTGGGTCAGTACAAGACCCATGGGCTAGATCATGTGGCTCCACAGTCCAGATCCAGCCTGTGGGCTGTATGTTTGATGCCCCATCTTAAATAATAGGAAGACAGAACCCTTTGAGACTAAAGCTTCAAGGCCTTTGAACCATACTACACAATGAAATAAGATGAATTTGAAATAATTTTGCCAAAAAATCCATGTGTGCATACACAACTTCTTGCATCTACCCATGGGAATGTTAAAAATATATCTCATTAACCTTCAGCAGTAATATAATATTTTCCAAGCCCTGGAGGAAATGAATAACAGTCTCTCAGGGGAGGAAGGGGAACAGCAAAGAATACATAAGGAGGACTGAAGTGTTCAGAAAGTGAATGTCACAGGCTTCTGCCCCTGGGCATGACAATGTTTCACTGGCTGCATTGAAACATAGACATTAAATTATTTTGCAGACAGGTTTATTGTGTAGATAAATTCAGTAGCGCACGAAATGCTGAATGTGGCTTGAATGTACCTGATAAGTATCTCAGTTCAAAGACCACATGAGTGAATTGATGACAGAAAACAGAAATCCAGTTCTCCCTTGAGTGTGGTAGTCTTTGTAGTTACAGCATCTTCTTTTTTGTACTGAGTCAGTGTTAGTAAGAATTAATTTCCATTCAGTGAACTGTGTGGCTTGGGAGTTGATAATATAAAAGCTCACCTTTGGTTTTTTTCCACCCTCCCTTCCCAGCTTTACCTTTTGTTTTTCTAATTTCTACCTATTTACATTCTCACTGACATCCTGTCACACTTTCAGCTTCTCTCATTCCTTGGAGTGTCAGACCAGCAAAGACTTTCTATGCCTGAAGAAGGGTCACTGTGCCCAAAAACTTGCTAAGAACTTTTTTCCAACTACTCAGTTGTTCTAATAAAAGATATCACGTCTACTCAAAGAACCTTCCCTGCCTATGTCCTTAGATCAACACTGCTACAACCAAAATATTGAAGACCATATTTCCAGTGAAACCCCATGACTAGCAAGTTTTAGATGACAAAAGAAGAGGAGGAGGCCCCTCTCATATTTTAGCCCAAAACTTAGTGTTTATGGCTTAGGGAGTGGAAGATCTAGGTTTCAGCCCCCCTTTATCTAGCACCAGATGGCAGGCTAGCCATTATTTAATCTCCTTCCCAGCCTTCCTCTTGAAATTGGCTCCCTGGGCAGCCAAAAGAAAGAGGTAAAAGGAAGAGAATAAGCTACAGAATGTGTGGCTTAATGAGATGGCTGCTGTTCTGGAAAGGAGAGGCCCTGGCTTCTACCCTGGACCCTTGCTCCAATGGGGCAGAAACTTCCCCACTGTTCTCCATCCCTTTTCTCCAATGAATATTAAACGTACTGTGCAGTGGCTTACCTTCAAGAAGAGGCCTGGAGAGGAGCCTTGATGATGCCTGACCAGTGGCCTGTGATTAGAGCACTGTGCTGGGGAATTCAGAGATGCACATTTTCAAAACCTTCCTGGGTAAGGCAGGTCTAGAGCTGAGGTCTCCTTGTTCTTAGATCGTGGGCATTGGCTACTGGGCTACAGTATGGGAAGTCCTCCCTTTTTTTGCCAGGCCAAAAATTTAGGTCATATGCTCTGGCATGTGTGTACAGAGCTGAGTACCTGCTTGGCCAGGGTGTAGCCAACTGCCCAAGCTCAGTAGCTATGTGGATACATATTCATCCAAACAGAGCATGGAGTAGGATCACAGGCTGTGCCTGTGTGCCCAAAAGAGCAGTTATGGGCCTTGACAAGTTTAATTTGGGTGTATAAACTGAAATAGAGTTCTGCCTCAGCTTGTAAACTCAACCTCTTCCCAGCAAGAACTGGATGATGCAGCATACATGTCATCAATTAATAGTAATTCAGTTTTACATGTCTCATCTGTTGGAAGGAGAAGATAAAACAGTATTTAAAGATCCCATCTTCCATTTGGAGTCATTGTAACTTGCTCGTTGTTATAACTCAGACCCCAACTTGGATACTTGCAATTTTTATGTAGAAACTCTACTGCATGAGTCAAATGAAAAATCCATGTGCATGTACACAACTTCTTGCATCTACCCATGGGGATGTTAAAAATATACCTCATTAACCTTCAGCAGTAATATAATCTTCTTGGCCTGGAAGCTGTACTAAGAACTTAGCTGTGCTAAGGTCTGTCTGTGACAGGCCAGTAATAACAGTATTATTATCATTCACTGTCCTACATGTTTCCCATGCCGGACTTCTGTTTCTGACAGTCCTTGTATAATGACAGCTGAAAGCAATGGTTTTGTTTCCTGGCAACGTAGCATTGAAAACAACTGGATTTGTCATGGGTTATGCTCATATGAGTGATATTCTGAGGGAGATCTCTTCTGCACCTGACAGAGCAGTAAACACCCAATCAACCAAGTGGCAGAGCATGTTAGGAAAACCCATTTTGTACTTGAAAGGTTTGAAGGTTACAAATGACAAGTGTTTCCCAAAGGCAATGTTGAAAGGAATGCAGCAATGTCTATGGGCAGCATAAACTCATGCTAGCTTTCTTACATGCCATAAAGGAACACAGGAGAACATCTTGTTCCTGAAGAACTTACAAGAACAAATTCTTCACTTGTCCTCCATGCAGCATGTAATACTAGACTTTCAGTTGTACAGTGCTCATCTAAGCAATTATTGATGTTGGTAAGCAGCTTAGATGGTTCATTACTGAAGAGCAAATGAAGCTACAGTCTACAGCTACAATGAAAGAACTTAGCAGATATAAGCTCACATGGACTATATATGGACTATCTAAAATGTAAGCTTTTCCAACAGAAACCAATGGCATTGAAATCTTGGGCCTCAAAGGTAAATCTGGTCATTGTCTTCCATCCTGTGGACAGGAAGGAAAAAAAAATATCTGGTCCACAAAATATCATTACAAAATGAAGCAAAGTTTCTTCTTAAAACATTTTTTACAGCTGTAATTTTTTTAAGCTGAAACAATTTCAAAAGTATCCTTTGTTGCTTCAAAAAACTGCTAAATTGGCACTGGAAGGAACCACTATGGAACTCCTCATTCCATTCCACAGAACTTGTTAAGAAATGATGAAAGAGCAGCCAGAGGGAGCCATTTGAGCCCATGCTACTGATATTTTAACTATTTTCCTGAAGAAAACTTAGAAGATTCCTGTAACCTTTATGCCTTTAGAGATTCATTTGGAATCTGTTGAAATGGATTGCAAAAAGGTCATTGATTAATTTGAAGCAACCCGCCCTGAGAAAACAGGCCTCTGTCAATATTTTCTAAATATTATTTTCCTTTAGAATTGTTGCATTGATTAAAATCCTGTCAAAATTGACATTTTTCCTGTGGAAAGTTCCATTTCCATGAAACTGCTCTTTCTGATGTTTCTCTTTCACATTTTTGACTCTCTCTCCATAACAGCCATTTAAAATCCAAGTTCAGGACCTTTTCCCTTTTCCACTGCAAACCTGTGTGTGAAGTCCCAATAGAATTCTTTGCAGCGTTTTTTACTTATGAATGTCTCTGTATATTCCTCACATCTGAAAATGTTAAAATTGTTAGGTTTTTTTCAAGCACATTTTCCCAGGGGTTTGTACATCCTTCTTTTCTGACTGATGGAGAAAATATGCCTGTGGTTAGTTCTCTTGTGATTGGTGATTTATGCTTGGATACTGATCACCTACCCTGCCTACTGTTCTGAGGTCCAAAACCAGTGATTCTCACTATTGGTGACCCAGGGGCAACTATACCCAGCAAGTCATGTTCCTGTAGGTAACATTACAATTTGATGTCCCTCTCAATCTCTGCTTTTACTTGTTAATATCCTGTGACTGCAAACAAACAGGGTCTCACAGGCAGCATGTTGCCCATGAGTCAGAGTTTGAGGAACATTGCTTTGGAGAGCAAAGGAGTCTGTATCAAAAGATACCTGCAATTTCATAGTCTGGAGAGCAAAGGAGTCTGTATCAAAAGACACCTGCAATTTCATAGTCTGGAATTAAACTTTTCCTAAAGAGTGTGATTAATGGGAATTCATTATTTTGAACTTTTATTTTAATTTCCAAATGTAGTAAACTAGGGCAAACAGGCCCCCTATCACTAATTGTCCAGAACAAATCTTTAAATGAGAGATGAAAGAATGTGTTTATGAATATATGCCTTCACATATGCTTTCCCATGCAGAAAAAAAATGTCTATTTACAAGCAAGTTTAAAGAATTCAGCTTGTATTAAAATGTTTACAATAAAATCCTTTCTAATGATAAAAAAAGAAAACTCTTTATACTTGTCTTCAGAACGATCCTCCAAAACTTTACAGACTACAGATTAGTTCTGAAATGGACCAACAATTCTCTACAACTTTGCTGAGAAAATGATGGGGAACCAGCTCACTTAGAGTAACTGGGGCAATATGGGAAAGTTATGCTCCCAACTGGAATTTGACTGTGAGAGTGGGGCTAACACCCTGTACTCTGGGATATTAAATGATGAGGATCTCAGATTTCTTTCTCACTGGAAAGGCTTCACCTTTCATAACATTACAAATGGGCTAGGATTCACTGTGGACAAATAGGGCAGGAATGTAAAGGAGTGTTGACTGATGAATTGCAATCACACAGTTCCTGCAACTTTTGTTTTTCTTAGTGCTTTCCCCAGCCCTTATTAGCCAGTTCTGACCATACTTTATTTCTTGCCTAACAGAAATTATAGTCCAGGTTATCCAAAATAACAATGAAAAAAGGATAAGTCCTTCCAAAACTGTGGAATTTCATAGCTGAGGTTGAAACTCTTCATGCTGCTGTGTATTACTTACTATTTTTTTTCTGTTGTAAGATTTTCCTTTTAGATATACATCCCTGTGTGCCATGCATCTGATATCAGAATGTGCTCCGTGATATATGCACAAACCTTCTGTCTAGGGACAGTTGTATTACATGTTGCTGATTTAAAAAGAAGCCCCTTTTTAGTTATTGATCCATGTGGAATTAATGTGTGGATAATCTAAGGTTAGGCCTCTAGTTCTCTGGGGATGTAGTGGGAAATTGACTCCAAAGCAAGAAAAAAATTACAGCTGCAGCACTGAATTTCCTTGCTTGCTACATTTGTCTGATTTGGGTCAGTGCTTTAGTGTCCAGGTCAAGCATCTATCCTGCAGCTTGGAAATCATGAGTGTATGTGTGTGCTGAAAACCATGAATGCAAGAACCATTCAGAGACAAATTCTGTCATCTTTGCCTTGCAGTGGCATGAGGCCCAGCTCCATGTAAGTAAGAGATACAGAATTTGTCCCTTTAATTACATTCTGGAATAAAGTAATACTTCAGTATCTTCAGACATTTAGCTCTTTGCAATAGCCTGCAAATTTCCTCCGTAACAATACGATTAAGATATCACAACCATTTCCTTTTTCTCCTCATTTCTAGGTCCAGGTATTGCTTTTGTGGTTTACCCTGAAGCCTTAACAAGGCTTCCTCTCTCTCCATTTTGGGCTATAATCTTCTTTTTGATGCTTCTGACCCTTGGATTGGACACTATGGTAAACTTTTTATCTACCTTTTTCCTGTTGGCTCACCTGTTCCTCTGTCTTCAAGATTACCATACCATATGTTGTTTCTCATGTAGTCATTGAGTCTCTTTGCAAAGAGAATAAGAACACCAATACATAATTCACCTGGGTGCTTTGAAGTTTCAAAGTTAATATTTAAGATGACAGATGAGTATAATCCAATGCCATTAATTTTTCAAATGATCTGTCTCTCTCTTTTACATTTACATTGAATTAATGTGGCTAACATTTTGTTTTCTCTGATGTTCCCAGTTTGCTACTATTGAGACAATAGTGACCTCCGTTTCAGATGAGTTTCCCAAATACTTACGTACTCACAAACCACTCTTCACTCTTGGTTGTTGCATTTCCTTTTTCATCATGGGATTTCCTATGATCACTCAGGTAAAAAATATTGTCTTTGATCATCTCTATGATTTGTCTTTGGGTAATCATCATTCTGTTTACTCTCCTAATGGGATAAGGTCTGATGTTCTGAAAGTGAAAGAAAATTACATTTCAGTTTCTATTTAAGTATATTTCATGCTGATGAAATGAAATACATGGCATTCATTTTATGGCCATTGATTTTGATGTGTTTTTCTTTTTCTTTCAGATGCTCAAAATGAGGTATGTTTAAGGGGCCCAAACTAAGGAACTTTCTGAAAATTAGCCCCTTTTAAATTTTCTTAGTTTGGGCACCTAAAATAACAAATATTTTTTAATAAGTTGGTCATGTGGGTACATTCATGCCCTAATATCAAACATTTGGAGTCAACAAGTGTAAAATAGTGTGCAGCTGCATCAAAAAAAATATATCATTCACCTGTGAACATTTTGCCCATTCTGTGTCCTTTCTCTTTGAGATATACTGTAACACTGCAAACCTCTGAGGAAATTCAAGTAGTGCCACAATTTAAGAAAATAGTAACTTCCAAGTCCTCCATCCATTTGGATCTGCAGCCCTGGGTTCTCTCCTGGTTGTCAAAGTGCCTGTTTCCTTTCTTTCAAAGAACTAGGCAGGACTTACTGTTAAACTAAGGAAACAGAAAATCTGTATTTAATTCCAACCTCTGCCTGAAGGGGTCAAACCCACATCTTTCATCTGTCAGGGGTGGTTATCTATAAGACTGCCAACCCAAGACAATTTTTTTACTGACAATCAGCAAACTTTTTCTGACAACCAAACTTTTCTACATGTTTTACATAATGCAAATATAACCCTTTGGGGTTCAACACCAACCACAGTAAAAATGTTTGGCTATCAAAAAATGTGCAGTTTATCTGTAAAAAATAAAATAAAATAAAAAATATTGGGTTGGCAACCCTGCTTGAATGCAGCAGTGTGTCCTCTACTCACCCCCACACCCTGATGCTCCAACCACACCCTGCACCATGCTGGAATGGACCACCAAAGGAGGAATACTGTCTGCCTACCCAGGGGGTGAGCAGTGACAGGCAGGAGAGAGGAGGCAGCAGCAGTAGTACATGGCTGGGGGCAGGAGAGGGAGGTATGAAGACTCCCATGAGCCACAAAGCCCTGACAACAGGGTGCTGGGCTCCTGCTCAGACAGCTGGTGCTGCTACTCTGCTCTGTCTGCTCTTCCACAATGGCTCCGGTTTCTTTCCAGCAACGGAGCTTCAAATCAGGGGCTTTTTGTTTTTGTTTTTTTATAGGCTGCTAAGTTTTTTTTAAGGATTTCATGGACAGGGATTTTTATCTTTGTTTTTTATGGTCTGTCCATAATATTACAGACAGTTGGCAACCCTGAGGATAATTCTGGGTAACAGTTCACCTCCCTTGATGTAGTTTACATTGAATAGTCATTGGATAAAATGCTAAAATAGTACTGCAAGTTGTGGTCTGCTGTTCCAGACTGCTGCAGGTGAGTGCCCTAACCATTAGGCTTACATGGTCTTGTTCTCTCTTGTTCACTTGCTGGTTCAATGAATACTGAGGTCTTTTCTACAGAGAGGCAGAGCTTCAATGGAAGATATTAGAGAGTGCACTCACCCAGACAAGCATTATAGTTGTGTGGTTGGAGGACAATTCTGTGTGGTAGAGAATGTTCAGATCCTCACAGACTGAAGAAAGGTTTTCAACCCAGGAAGTTTTTTGGTACAGAACCTTGTTACAGCTTTGTAACATTGTTACAGCGCTTGCAGATTGTGAGACAGGAGCTTTAACCCATGGAAGAAGAGACTTTCCCTAGGGGGTCCAACCAGAGATAATCAGTTTTAAAAATCTGTGCCATTTTAGATCAATTTGAGGGATTTTTATGGTTCACAGTGCCCTGCAAGCCAGAACTCATAAACACTAAACTATGTATCGTTACAGGTAGAAGGAGAAAAAAAATCTCAGTAAAATTTGGTTAAAAGTCTAATAGTTTTTCTGAAGTGCATGGAGCGGGCTACTATGGTATATCCTAGACACAGATATTCCATGTGTTTATATTGTATAAATGAAATGGATGTATTTAATATGAATTTGGCACTGGTGAGAGTTGTCTACTTGTGCCATTAGGAAACAGAACAGAGAGAACATTAGACAGTGGTTGTAGAAGCTTCCCATGGCCTATATCCAGTGTAGTTCAGCATGGACCATTGTGGGCTTTCTGAGAAAGAGAGTAGGATATTCATTCCCACTCAATATGTGTCCTTTTTACTGAGATTGTGAAGAAGGAGTGGCAGTTGTGATATATATATATTTGTCCTGGATCCCTATTCATTTTGATGCCACATACATTCATTACACATTGGCTCCTGAACAGTTGCAGCAACTGCTGGCTTTATCAATCGTAGGATAGATTTAAACCAAAGAATGAGAGATGAAAAGTTATTTAGTCCATTTCTCATCCTTTATGTTATATTGAGGACAGGAACACTACAATGTGATATATGTGAAGAGAGTTGCAATATCTATATAGCAGATATGTACCATATGTCATTGTTTTTCCCCTTCTTTTTTAACTTTAGGGTGGAATGTACATGCTCCAGCTTGTGGATACTTATGCAGCCTCTTACTCTCTTGTCATCATTGCCATATTTGAACTTGTTGGGGTTTCATACATATATGGTAAGAAATGAGCAATGTTAATGAATAGCACTTAGGGCTGCATGTATAAAAGGGGTATTGATGGTCTATGACAAATTAGGAAATGGAGTCTGGAAGACTATTTCCTTTCAAATTCTCCAGAAAAAAAAGAGTAAAAATTCAGCAAACTAAGGAGGGAAAAATTTGTTTAGGAACACTGTTTAAAATGAAAGCAATTCAGGTATGCTTCATTGCTTTAGCATTCCTCTAGAAGCATCTCATCAAATTAACTATATTTCTATAAAACCAACAGTGAGCTGGTTACCATAGCAAGTGGTTAATTATGATAAGTGTTATCACTGGGCCTACAGACATTCTAATAAGACATTTAATACTGTCCAAATTTAAGAAGGATGTAGCATATCCTCAGCTGGTGAAAAGCAACTGAGCTCCCTTGATGTCCATATCTTGGTTTGCACTAGCTGAAAATCTGGTGTTGGAAATTATTTAACAGCAATATTTTTAGCAGTTTGATTCCTGGACGCTGGCAAGGTCACACAATAGTACAAGGGAATATTTAACTGTCCCTCCCCAAAAGAAACTGCTTGTCTTAAACTCTTAACATTTCTTCTCTGGAGACACTGGGGACTTTTTTTTGAAATTATATAGATAGGTTGCTTTAGAAAATGACCATTCAAACTCAGGATAATGAATATGATTGCAGAGCTTTGCATATCAGGGCTTAATTGTGCTAATGTTATATCAGTTGATCACAAATAATCCTCTCATTTTTTATTGAAAAGAACCTCTAAGGTGCACACACATAACTTGATGTTCTCAGGCCAAGATCCTGCAAAATGATTTTCATCTGTCACCTGGGTTTACCTGCATTGTAAGATCAGGTCTTTACAGTATAAAGACATTAAGGCACATGGACTTTATGGTAATTGTGGTGCTTGTGGCTTGAGCAATACAAATTATTAAAAAACGGGTGACAAGAAAGGGTTCAGGAAAAAGTAAAACTTGAGCCACTGAGTATGTTTTATCTCCTGTTTTATTCTGTAAACTTATTGGACAGTCTAGAGCTGTATTTTACCTGCATGGACACTCACCCAAATGAAAGGAGTTGCATTGAGTATAACCAAGGGCAGTGGTGCTCAACCTTTCTGGCATGTGGACCAGGTGAGTGGGGAGCCAGGTCCGGGGCTGCGAACTGCACCCATGCACTGGGTAAAGGATTGTACACCATGTCTGACACTGCACACTGGGTCTGGCTTCAATCTGTCGCATGGGTCCATATACAGCAGGGGCTCCCCATGAGCCCAAAAATTTAGCATTAGAGGAACAGTGGCATCACTAATTGCTATGGGGCTGCCAGAGTCTCAGTAGTTAACGCTGCCACCACTCCCTCACTGCCAGATGTTCAGACCTTTGGAGACTCCAATGGGCTGGATGACTCAGCTCTGCAAGCTAGATCCAGCTTGTGGGCCATACTTTGAGCAACAGTGACCTAGAACAAAACTTTTCTTTGTGACTGGGAAATTTGGCTCACCTGCAGAATGTAAAATGTCAGAAAATGCTAAATAAGCCAGCACTTCAAACAGAACAAATGCTCTTATGGCCATGGAATGCAAGTATTTTAATTAAAGCTTAGTCTAGACTTGGTTGAGAAAAAATACCAGCTCTTTCTCCATCAGGGTCATGAAGCACCGATCCCGGCCAGGCAATAGCGGGAGCTCTGGCTCCAGTCTCCAGCAAGACCTGCCCTGGCCAGAGCTGTAGCACCAGCTTGCCCAGCTGGTACTTAAATCTAAGATGAGCCTCCCCATGCTAAATTGTTTCCCTGACCCCCAACCTCATCTTAGATTTGAGTAAATATAATATAATTGCAAATTAGAATATGGAGCAAAATAGTGGGTTTTAGTAGCTTTTACCTGCTACATTCTCCACTAGCTTGCTAGTTAAAGTTCTGGTAAGAAAGGAGTATGTTTGAACACTTTTTCTGGATGTGCCTGTAGGCCAGAAGTGTTAAACATTACCTGTCATAGTGACAGCAGTTGTTTATGTAGTGGGATGATGGCATATTGCTCTAAGCCAAAATCAAGTATTACAATGTCAGGCTGTTCTCTTTGTATACCCATTGGACTAACTGTAGATTAATTGAAAACCCACAGGATTTGTGGGAAGCTCAACAATAAGATATGTTTATAACATGTGTATTGCTACTTTGGGCTGAAGTTTATTTTAATGGAAACCTATCAAAGAATTAAAAAACAAAGCAAAATAAAACATCCTCTTCTCAGGGCATTGTGGTTTAAAAGTTCAGAATTAGGAAGCAGGGCCTGAGCTTGTTTGCTGGCTCCTGCCGTAGACTTCCTGGCTGCATTTGGCCATTTGTCAAACTCATTTGTCAGTATTGCTAGTATTAGTTCAGCTGCACCAGAGACAACAAATTGGGAATACTGGTGAAATCAGTTTGAGGGGTCCTGTCTTATCCAGAGCAGGGCAAGTTTGGCGGACACTGGACAGCAGTGTGGTAGGAGTAGCATTGGGCTCTCGGACCTCATCTGTGCCAACACTCTTACTGTGCCAGTGTTAGGAACAGTGCATGTTGTGTATATGTATTCAAAGCTCCAGTGTGATCACAAAGAAGTTATTTAGGTTCAGGCTCTCAATAGTGGCCTTTAAATTGGTGTGCCCAGGTTCTCAATAGTAGTCTTTAAATCTTATCCTCCTAAGATTTTAAACACCTGATGCTTTGCAGAGACCACTGTCCATGCAAACAGAGGCATAACAAGCATATTTTGTGGACTGGACAGTGGTAATGGCCAAGCTGACAACAGCAGCAGCTGCCAATCTTTCACCCCTCCAAGTTGGCATCTGGAGTTGGTACCACACTGGCTCATCCTTAGTTACACTACTGCATTGACATCGCCAATCCATTATGAGTTTGAATGGTTTTAGATACATTTCTCCATTATCAGTCCTAGCTGCAATCCAGCCTTTGGCTGTACATTGTGTGCCCTCACAGACACATAATGGGTCTCTATATAGGCACAGGCTTTTGCTTGTATGGAATCATTTGCTAGGCTGAAACCCATGTGCATTTTTACAAAAATGGATGGGGTTATCGGATGTGGGGTGCTAGTCGGTATTGGCTCATCTGAAAGCTTCAAATAGAAAAGCTAGACATATTTAAGATCATTATTTTCCTCCTATTTTTTGTGCAAATCCTTCTATAAATCTACCTTTTGAGCTTGTCACAAGTGACTTCCCTTGAAACTGGATGGCTAGAGGATCTAGATATTTTATGTGGCTCAAATGAAGTAGAAGCAGAGAATCATTGAAAAGTGGAGCTGGAAGGAGCTCAAGAGATCATCTAGTCTAACTCCATATTCCAGAGACAAATACAGACCAAAGACTTCCAGTTCTAATAGTATCTTGTATGCCATGTCTTGTAAACCTGTAATAATTTCTGTCACTTTCCTTTTTAACTGTGAAGAATTTTACTTTCTCTCAACCATATATGCCAGTGCAGAAACAATATTTTTAAATAAACCAAATAACACTCACTGAATAAGGATAAAAAGTATAGTTATTCCTGCTTTGACCACTGAGTGGCAGAAGCACTGCAAATGTGCCCACTCACAGGTTTTGTTCTTCATTTTAAAGAAATGCCATTTATTCTAAAACCCATTTTGTGCAGCACTTGGAGTAGCTCGTGTATATTTATTTCTACTCATTAACCTTTTTTTTTTTAACTAAGCAGTCTTTCATTAGGTAACAAACCTATTTTTTGCCATTACCAATGATACTTTGAAGACCTGTAAGATATAAATTTCTGGTGTCTGTGAAAGACAAGGATACATTGGTGTTTGTTAGTGGAATATTTGTTCCTTATTTTCCTTCCATTCCTTGGGCACTACACACGATTCACTGCTTTGTTAAACTTAGTTTCATTTAACCATGGAAAGGAGTTTCCCATTCCCACTCAGGAGGTAAACATTGTATTCTGCAGTGGTCTGAAACTACTTGCAGAATTGTTTTGCAGACCTGAAGTTGCAAATAAAATTATACAGGTTTCAAGCATCTCTGATGCTTAAACAGGATCATGGGGTTATAGGGAAGTAGGGCTGGAAGAGACCTTATGAGTTCATCCAGGCTAGTCTCCTGCTCAAGACCATCTCAACCAAATGTTTGGAAACCTGATCTTGAAAATTTTAAGGGATGGAGAGTCCACAGCTTCTCTAGGTAGCCTGTTCCAAGCTAAATTTTCTCTACTACAGCTTGAATTCATGGCTCCTAGCCCTGTCTTCTATGGCAGTGGTTTTCAGAATTCCTAGTCATAGAAACCTTCAATATCACTTTGTCTGCCAAGGAGCCCCTAACCCTCTCCTAAAGACTGATGTGGAACCAGGTGACCTGGCCTGGCAATGGAGGCACGTGGCCTCCAGGCCCCCACTGCCATTACCCCCAAACTCTTTGTAGAACCCCTAAACTAGGGACAGACATTCAAAAAGCCTGAGCCTGAATTGATTCAATCTTTGCAGGTTAGTCTAACCTGCAAAGATTGAACCAATGAGGAGGTGGATAGACATTCCCTTTTCATTCCAGAAATTCAGGCACATGCCTGCAGTGGCTCAGGCTAGAAGCCAGGGGGCGCTAGTGCAGCCCTCCCTTCCCTTCTACTGTACTCAGCTGGTGGGGTGGGGGTGGCCAGGCCCCAGCAGGACACTTTGCCCAGCCCAGCAGGGAATTGATAGCAGTGTTTATCACCCTTAACTCAGTGTTTATTGCCTCATTAAGAAAACAACAGAGGGACATTACCAGCAACCTGTTGATTCTGACTTGGTCACAGCATGGTCCAAAGCCAGCATGTAGTCTGCTAGTTAATACACAGACACCTCTCAGAAAGGCAGAGGGGAGGGGGGAATTCCTGCTTAACATGGAGTTGTGAGGGGGAGGTGGGGAGCAGCCTGCAAGTCTCTGCTAGAGCTGCAGCCAGGGAGCAGAGGAGAGGGCCAGACCTGCTGTGGAGCAGAGAGCCCTGTCCAGCCCAGAGAGCATGCTGGGATGCTGGGGGAGTCTGGTTTATCTTAAACCAGCAAGGGGTCTGGGACAGACATTGCATAAACTGGTTGAAGTCAAATCAGTTAAGTCTGATACTACATCAACCAGGTTTATTTCGAACTGTTTTCAGCCATTTTCAGACTGGTTTATGTGCATTGAACCTCTGTTCTAATACAGGTGTTAAACCAGTTTCTGACCACTTAACTGATTTATGTGTAATGTCTGTCCCTAGCCCTAATGACCTGTCACAGAATCCCAGGATTCTGCAAAACACTGTTTGAAAACCACTGCCCTACAGCCATAGAGGACCGTCCAACTCCATCCTCTCTATAATTGCCCTTCAGGTCTTTGAAGACTGCTGTCAAATTCCCCATCAATCTTCTCTTCTCCGGACAACATAAACCTAGTTCTTTCAGCTTTTCCTCATAAGTCATGCCTCCAAGGTCTGTAATCATTGTTGTTGTTCTCTGCTAGACTCTTTCCAATCTGTCTACATTTATCTCGAAGTGTGGGGCTCAAAACTGGACACTACTTCGGGTGGGGCCTAATCAGTGCTCAGTAGTGGAGTGGAAGAATCACTTCCTTTGATTTGCAAATGACACACCTGTTGATTCAACACAGTATATTTTAAAATGTTTATTTTTGTGCAAAACAGATGTATACAAACATAGTTATATAATACAGGTCAGCAGTTCCACATGAGCGATCTAGATTTTATATAGGACTTTAGTAAAACATACCTGGACATTGAAAAGACCTATTGGATAAAATCATCATTGATTTACCTGCTTACAGCATTAACAGATGATAGGTTAATAAAGTAAAAATAATAGACTATAAGATATAGAATGTAGCAAATATTAGCACCTAGAATTAACCTCATACCAGAACTATTGGCGTCTCACTTTTGGTAGCACTAGAAATAACGGACCCTCGTCTTGCAACCCTAACTCACTTGAATAGCTACCTAGGCTGAAAGAGGGCCACTTTTGCAAGGAGTTCTTCAGGAGTAAGTGCTGCAGTGTTCATGATTAGCACTCAGAGAGGTGGATCTACCTCTGCATTCTTATTTCGTTTGTGTATTTCTTCAAACAGTGCTTTAAATTGGTACAATATATTTTTTGAGCTCAGACAATTGCTTGTTTTACACTCCACTGACACCTTTCTCTATTGTACTCTTTGAAACAAGCAGATTGGCACTGTACCAGACAGGAGCTTTTATGATGGAATAAATCTGTCTGTAGCTCTTGTTACATGTTCTGCTTGCTGAGCTCATCGAGATTTTTAAATTAAAAAAAAAGACACAGTTATTTTCTTACAATCACTTATTTTTTTCATTAGAGCTAGTGCTACATAATCCAGTCAAACACCATCTTGTGTTCTACGAGCCCTGCACAGACATTTATTCTCCATTTCTTTAGAGTATGGATGCGCAATTAATAAATAGTGGTTTAGGGCTTCGTGCATTAATTTCATCATTCACATAATTCCCATTGGCATGTTTTGTAACCTGAGACCAAATACAACAATGCTGAGTTGAGTGAAATACTGCAAAATGCTGTCTGAAGTTTGAAATGAAGTCCCTTCAATTTAATTTGTGCTCCTTAAATATGTTTTCCTGTCAGAAACGTGGCAAAGAAGTGTATTGTCAGGAATGCTCAGCAACATGATGAACTGTGACTCCTGCAGTATATATTCAGACAGTAAATTTTGAATTTCTCATTGTGAGCACTTTTGTTTGTAGATACTTACATGGCTCTCTTTATCACACTGTACTTCTCACACTTTAATAGATTTTTACCATCACAACACTTTTGTGCACATAGAGAGTTTCTCGTTATTTTTAGTGATAAGGATTTGAGACGGGTGGGTAGATTAGGAGAACTGCCCACAGTCACATATGAAATCCTTGAAAGAGCTCAGAATCAAATCCAGTTCTCCTGAGTCCAAGTCCAGTGTTTAATTCATTAGAAAATCTTTTCTATTTTTATTGGAAACTAACGTACAAAGGAAACAGACAAGTAGCATATGACTCCTCTGTCCACTCTAGTGTGCTTGATTTCTGAGCTGTTATTGCTTGTAGCTACACTTGAAGTGAGGAGTGTTTGTGAGCACTCTAGAGATAACAGAAAACATTTGATGAAGATTTTCAGACGGATTTGTATAGATTTCATTCACAGGCAGTTTTGAAGACAGAAAATGGATAAAGTGAATTTACTATTAAGTGACTAATTTATTAATCTATTAGTCTGTCATCTATGTCTATGCAGCAGTCAATACTTGTGCTACTATGCTGTAGACAAGGATGGATCCTGGGGGGTGCTGTGGTACAATCCCTATAAGTCCTGGTCCACCCAAAGTTTAAATCTAACAGCGGCAACAGCATTTCTATGCAGGCAGCAGTGAGGGAGTCGCTTAATTTCACTGCTCATTTTAATCTACCTCATTCCTTCTAAACTCTTCATTCCACAGTTGTTAATGACCTTCTCTCTTTTTTAATGGTCTCAGTGTTCCTCTAACTAAATATCCTTTCTTTTGCATTTCTGTAGTCGGTTAGCTACTTGTCTTAATGTTGCTCCCGTTTCCACAGCCCTGCAGACTGTTAACTCTAAAAGCATTATTTCAGGTGTGGAAATATTAACTTAAGCGAGCATCAATTTTGGTGTGGAAATAACTTCCAGTGAAGCATTGGATGTACTGATTAGATGCTCAAAAAGGCTCAATTTTGTTTTGTGAATCTGAAAGAGATGTACATTTAATTCTAATGACAAGAGGCCTAAAGAAACAACATCTTTTGATTATTTTTGCTTGCTTTGTTGTGTTTTTACATAATGTATGAAATAGTAAATTAATGCACATTCCAATAAAATTTTATTTGTTTTCACTTCGATCTTGAACTCCGTAATATAGCCCTAGGCCTCTACCATATTAGTAAAGCTTCTAGTTTCTTTTTACCTGGAGAAAAATGTGTTGTGTTATATGTGATGTACCGCAGCATCTGTTCCCCCGCCCCGCTTCATAATTCTACATCTGCCCATGGCTGTAGATAAACTTAAATTGCTCCCTGCAAATATTTCACAAAGCTTTAGTAGGCAGGTAACAAGACAGTAATATAAAATACTTAGGGTCAAATTGACAACTTCAGTTAAGGGCCCATTTTAGCCAGGGCTTCAATTATCTCATTGACTGCAATAAAGACAAAATTAAGCATGTGCTTTAGTCCTGTGATACAGCAAGTATAGGTAGTCAGACCAAAATGCAGAAGTAAATGCTTCTAATCATAGAAACGGGTTATAGAAATGTCCTATCTGAGGAGAAGGGTTTAACTATTAGCAACTAGGGCAAAGAGAAGGAATGCTTTCTTTATCAAAGGCATGTAAGGAAGGAGGAATGCAGTTAAAATAGGAGGTGTAAGTCCCAGTTCTCTCACTTCCTACCAGACTCAGAAGCACAGAGGTGACTTATTTTATTGAGTTCTGAGGTGGATATTCTTGTTCCTTTTGGATTAATAGTTAATAGATATGTCCTTGTTTTATGGCAATGTGGTTCTCTGTTAGGAAACATCTGTTATTGAGCATGGACAGTTTACTTAGTGATAAACAGGCATGCTGAATGGTAGTGAAAAGTCACTGAGCCACATCCTTAGGTGATGCAAAGCAAAGTAACACCACTGAGCAGATGGTCTGAAGTGGGAGCTACTCAGCTAGTTTATGCTAGCTGATGAGCTAGACCAGTACAAATCAGACAGAAGGTCCTTACTAAGCATAGAGAATTTCAGTAACAAATGAGAAAAGCTAGCTGGCATAGCAGGCTGTCATATAAAAGACTTAATTGAGTACTACATAATTTGAGAAAACAGAGGGATACATTTCTAAGTGACCACAACTCTGCCAATATCAAGGGACCAGAGCTTAAATGACTATGGCTCATACCTTTTTCTACTGTTGACTGACTTATTTAATAATCTATATTAAATGGGATGTAGTGCATTATCTTGATAAGAGAGAACTCAGGTTCTTATGTCACTTCTCTGCATTCTTTAGTGAAACAAGCACCTTTTTTCTCTCTTTCATCATTATCGTCTTCATCCTTCCCTGTGTTTCCACATATTTACCTAAAATATTAATGAAAATGTGTAATATCAAAAAATGTTGGGGCAGATTCTCATTGATTAAAGTTAATATATTTATGATGATTCATGCCGTATTTTAAAATATAGTCAGCCTACATCTATTCTCTCTTTTGACATCATAAGCCATCACATCTCCAGATTAACATAAGCGTACAAAGAGAATAGATTTAAGAACTGGTCAGACTTTCAGTTGACGAGGTAGTAGCCTTCAAAATTCCTGGAATCCATGTTGCGTATTGAAAGAAATGATCAATTCCACTCAACTTCCTTTAAAGGATTACAGTCTGTCTGGGACTGTAGGGGAAGTTGAAGAGACTAATGGGTAGGTCATAGAGTTGTCTATTTTACCTACCTCAGATATGCCCAGGTTCTGAATCCTAAACTCTGCGGAAGAAACAGCTTGCTCATTCAGTTTTACAGTTAACTAAAGAATTGTAAAAATACATCTAAACAAAGAGAAGTTTTAAACTGACAAGTCAGACCATAACTGGACATAAGGGAGATCAGAGAAGCTATTTTGCAAACTCCAGCCAGTCTCTTTCTATTTTAATTATATTTTTATTTGTTATTTACAGGCTTGCAAAGATTTTGTGAAGATATAGAGATGATGATTGGATTCCAGCCAAACAAATTTTGGAGAGTCTGTTGGGCATTTGTAACCCCAACCATTTTAACTGTAAGGAAAAAATGTTTTTGAATGTTTCCAGTCTTCATTAAATTTATTTAAATTTTGCATGTCATGTACTAAAAGTTAGTGTTTAATGATTGAAAATTGTTTCCCAAGGAGAAATAATTATTAAAAATATATACCCATCAATCACATATGTACATATTGGTACAGATTTATACAAACTGTGCATATATAATATAACATATGATTCTACAGAGTCATCACAGGTAGATTTGGGTAATTCTTTTCAGGAGGTAGTAAATTCACCATAAATGTTGCTCAGGGACAGAAATGATTGGCTGATTTGTGTTGGATTTGATGAAGTTGGCTGCAAAAATGGTGAAAAAATTTTGGAGAAGTACAGTCATTTTGTTTTAAATTTTTCTAAATGAGGTGTTTTGAAATTTCTTTTTCAAACAGTGTTTTTTGTTTCAAAATTGACTTAAATATAAAGAAGGTTAGTTTCAGGTATTGAAAGACAAAACTGAAAAAAATTAGTTGCAGGTTGTTTGACCTGAAACATACATATACATATATTACACCTGTGTGAAGCAGCAAGTATTCGCTTCAGATTCGGATTCAGCGGGACAGTAATTTGATTTGGTGATTCAAATCACTGCCCCGATTCGACTCGGCTGAATCCAAATCCATACAGGCAGGCAGTGCTGGTGGGAGCAGCTGGGGGAGCAGTCAGATGAGCCCTGGCTTGAGCTGGAAGCCCTGGGAGAAGCTGTGGCTTGTCTGGCTGCTCCCCCGGCTGCCCTCCCAGGGCAAGGCAGGCAGTGCTGGCAGCTCTGAGAGAAGCTGTGGGGGTTGGGGGGAATGATGAGGGAGCTGGGGGAATGAACCAGGGAATTAAACCGGGAACTGTGGGGAAGCTCCTATTCATGCACCTCATCCCCAGTCATTTCCCTCAGTTCCCGGTTCGATTCCCCAGCACCCCAATCATTTCCCCTAGCCCCCACAGCTTCTCCCAGGGCTGCCAGCACTGCCTGCCTTGCCCCGGTGAGGGGGCTGCTGGGGGAGCAGCCAGGGGAGTCACGGCTTCTTCTGGGGCTGCTGGCTCAAGACTCGTCTGGCTGCTCCCGTTGGCACTGCCTAGTGCCTGCCTGTACAATCTATGGCCAAATCTCTGAATCTCTCTGAAATGATTCAAGTTGGGGAGATTAATGGGTCTCCCGATTTGATTTGGATTCGGAGATTCAGCCGCTGAATCAGGCCAAATCTCCTCTGAATTGAATCGGCTACTGAAGTTTCACACAGCCCATATATATATATGCACACGTGCGCGCACACACACACAATTTTAAATTCAGTTTTTACAGTCCTATTCACTGGGGAAACACCCATTGCCTTCTTTAAGGCTAAAGAACTAAACTTGTAGACTTGGAATCAGAAAAGCACTTAAAATGTACTTAATTCCTTTGGAAATCAGTGCTAACTATGTTAATGCTATGTATATATTTAAATGCTTTATTTTTATATCTCAAAATCTTAAAATAGATCCATAACCAAACTAATGCTCTGCTGAATAAGAAAAGGCTTACACCTATATTTACTATACTGAAGTCTCAGTCTGAAACCCAGACCTATTGATGGGTAATGTGGGTGTATCCAGCTTTCTGATGAGTGATGGGGCAGCATTTCTATTTTTTATCTACTATTAGGTTTGTTTTCTTTGGCTCATAGTAAATCAGTAACAATTGCTCTGCTTCACTTGAAGATACACATTTGTGCCCAACAAATTCAGTTCTAGTGAGTAGTTTTCCACTTCTGCCTGCTTTTCTGTATGAATTACACTTGGGATCTACAAAATGCAGTATACCAATATTAGATTTAGTATCTTTCTTTTTCTAGTACTTGAGCAAACAAGCCTCTACTTACAGTTATTGAAAGTAAGGTTTCACAGTGCCAGTAGGTGTCACTGTATGCTAGTAGTTTGCTTATATCTATAATGAACCTTAGGTTCATTTATCTTGCAAGAAAAAGTCATATAATTCTTCCACTACTGTCAAGGTCAGTGTGGAAACTAGATTACCTGCCTGGTCTTCATTTTTTTAAAATAGGGGTATATAAGAAAATTACATACCTTATTTTTGTAACTGCATAACCAAACTAATTTTCTTTCATGCCTCTGTATAATTTTAGATCTGCATTTAATTAAAAAAATGAACACATTTTAAAATGGGTAAAGGAATATGTTCCATCTGCTGTCTTAAAAATAGGAAAGCCTCACACCTTCATAGCATGGTCCCTCAGCTGGAACCTTAGTGCATACCTCATTTCCTTTTCAGTCCATTTTCTTTATGTTTGCTGTGTATTGGCACAAAAAAGAAGGAATTTGTCTTTGATTCTAAATATTCTGGTTTACTACTGAGTGAAAACACGATGGTTAACCATTTGAGGCCAGTATATAGATCCATCACAGAATTGTCTTTCATACTGAATGTCTGTTGACCTATACTACAACATTGTGAGACTATTTATCACTGTTAATACTGTGTTTTTAAAACATAACATACTACAGAAGTGTTAAGGATTGTGGTTTGGTAATGCAAATGAAAAATTATCACTAGAATTTCTGGAGGAATAAAACACATGTATTATCCAAGAAGGAATAGCTCTCATGTCCATCTCTTGCAAGATCCTGACCAGCTGAGATCATTACAAGGTGTTCTAGCACTTTTTGACCTTCTTTCCTAAAAAAAAAAATCAAATTTGTGTCATTCTAGAGCTGATTGAACAACCTCAGTCAAAAATCTCTTTTTTAGGAAGGAAAAAATGATAATTTTAACTAAACAGATATTTTCACAAAAATAGTTCCCATGCTAGTGAAAGAAATGGAAGTTAATATTGCCATATTTATTTGCTGAAATTTGGAAAATTTTCAGCTTTGAGTGATTGTTGATTTCTTGACAAACTTGAAAATCTTGTCACAATGATGAGTTTGCGTTTATGGAAACAAACTGATTTCCAGGCAATTCTATGTAATACCATTTTCTCTGTCTCTCTCTCTCTCTAGCTGTCCATTCTTACTTTTCTGTCTTAAGCTATGAGTTGGGTTCCTATATGTGGAAAAAACGACAGATTTCCATGTCAGTTGGTGGCTGCATTTTATTTGTGTGGTTCTGACATATAGTTCAGATTCAATATGTAGCCCTGCTTAATTTAACATACTGTCTGAATTACATACAGAAAACTGATTTTCCTCTTCAGATTTAGCAACCTCCCAGATAAAACACTATCTGTCTTCCTTGTTCTCTTTGCTTTGCTTTCTCCATATTTGAGAACCTGTACCACCATTATCCTGCAAAAATAATGCTTTTTGTAACTGACCAGTGTGATTGTTGAAAAAATACTTCTCTTTTACAGCCATATATGTATTTGGCCGCTGTCAACAGTGACAGCCAAGGAGCAATACCTGGATCTTGGACTCCTGTATGGTCTCTTGTAGCACATTGCAAACAAACCATGAGTCCATCTCAAGCCCCTATGTTTTACTGTTCCTGTCGATCAGCCAAGATAAAATGTTTAGATTCAACTTTATAATGAAAAATGATTTTATATTGATCAGGCATGATGAAATTTTTATGAAATGAAAAAAAAAAAACAGTGGAGAAAAGTGAAACAGCATCTTTTTCCATTGTGGTCTTCTGTAAAACTAATATTTGATGGATCTGAGTAGTTTAAAACCAGAGTTTTAAATTACTTCATGGTCCAAAAAATAAAATTGATCTTTTTCTATTTGCCTTTTCAGAATTATATTACTATATGTCTTCTGCATGCAATTAGGTAGTTCACAAAAGTTATTGAATTATGCACACATGTACTGTTATTTATAAAGTGAAATGTATTAACTTAATTACACTGGGTAATGCTGGTAATAGACTGTAATAAAGCTTATACTCTAGGGAAAAGGCTTTAATCTTTGTTCGTCTACTGTTGTAAATCTAATAATTTCAGCGGTTTTTATGTAAGGTTTACATGGATGAAACTGAGCTCAGATTCTGAACCTGGATTTGCAGTTGTAGCGATTATTGCATAGTTATCATAGTTGCATATTGTAGCATGTGTGCAGTCGTATACACTCCTATTTTTAGGTCTACCATATTAGAACAAAATGTGTGTGTTACCACCTGTTATGAATTGTATATTGAGTATTAAAAGATATTTTCTTTCTTTTCAGTTTATTCTCTCCTTCAGTTTTTACCAGTGGGAACCAATGACATATGGAGCTTACCACTATCCTGGCTGGTCCATGGTACTTGGATGGTTGATGCTGGCCTGCTCTGTTATTTGGATTCCAGTTATGTTTGTAATAAAAATGCATCTAGCCCCTGGCAAATTTATTGAGGTAATTCTGGTATCTTCTCCCTCTTAAAAATTTGGTAACAGGAGATTGTTTCCTTTTATTTTACACAGATATGTGTGATGGGAACTGTTGACAATGGGAGGACTGTTTACTAGCAAACTTGCTTTTATAACGCTACAAAGTAGAGATGCTTAGCTTGTCAAAATGCAGACCGAATACTCTCCTGTGCCTCAATAAAATGCAACTAACTCACTAACATCTTGGTTCTGTGAGGACTGAATAAACTCTGACCTTCATAGGCTTCAAAATGGTGTCACATGCAGATGATTTAATCACAGTTTTTTCCTTTGCTTGACTGGTGAAGTTTTGCTGAAACAGTGTAGAACATGAAAGCATCAGGCATTAGAAATCATTAAAGTGGATTAGTGAACTCTGCAGAGTAAAACATTAGTAAGTGCCAGTTATTAGAAGTCATCAGGTCCTGTAAATTGCTATAGACCATCAGATATCATGTAACTCCAATGAACCATTTTTTTTGCTCCCCTTTCAGGCCCTAAAACCATCTCTAATTCTAGCAACTCACACCATGCCATTCATTAGCCTTATATCCATTTACCATCTTCCCTTTACTGTCTGGTTAAATTCAATGTTCCTGTTCTCGCCTTGAGGCTTATCACAACTTTGTGTATGTATCTGCTAGAGGTAAACATTTATTAGGGCAATATATTTTATTGGACCAAGTAGGTAACTGGGATAAAATTAGACCATCTTTTGAATATGATACATTCTTCCTCAAGCCTCTGATTATAGGAAGCTTGGTACAGTAAGTGCCTATGTATCTGCTCATTTCATATATCTCGCTATTCCATGTGTTTCCACACATTCTCATTTTTGTATCTTCTTTCATTTCTACTCCCAGTTTTCTGGTTCTCTGTTTCTGTTCTTATTCAACAGGAATCTACCTACCTGTGCTTCCAAATTCTCTTTCCAGTTCATTTCTGCTGGAAATCCCACAAAGGTTGTTACACTCCCATAGGAACTGAGAAGAAATATGTTAAAAAAGAAACATTTTCTTGATCATACTATATGCCATTTAGGACTTTGCTAATATTTAAGGTGAAGGTGTTTAATATTAAGTGATGAAATATTCTAGGGCAGTGGTGCCCGATCAATATCTGTGACCCATCTGTGGGCCAGATGGGTGGCATGGAGCCAGTCGGTGGGCTGCATCCAGTGTGCAGGGCTGGTCTGTGGGCCCAGTCTGGTGAAGGAGATCACATCAACTAGCCTGAAGAGCTTCCCCTGGGTCCAAAAATATGGCAGTAGGATGAGTGGTGGCAGTATTAATTGCTGTGGTTTCAGGTACCAAGGTAATTAACATGGCTACTGCTCCATCACTGCCAAGTTTCTATCCCCATGAGGAACTGTATGGGTCAGATATCTCTGTGGGCTGGATCTGGCCCTCGGACCACATCTTGATACCCCAACACAGACTGCATATGGCGGTGGTCAATTGTATAGCTTGTCCAGAGGGCTCTATGACCTTGTATAGAGGATACTGGAATGCTTTAGCTGGTAGAAAGACCATTCTATATAAAACAGTGAAGCAGAATGCAATTTGGTTTATTTATTCACATTTTTCTAGCTCAGTTCTAGTATCAGGCTGTTGGGCTTCCTTGGAAGTGAGCAATACCAGGACTGGCATTCCTTTTCATAAGGCAATAAACTAATTTCCCTCACTGATACATCCTACTCTGCTTCTGGCCTCTGTTTATTCACCTGGGATTGGATTATACATTGTTCATAATCCAGGGTGCTCTCTGTACTGTCCCTTAACTACAGCACCCAAAGAAATGCAGAAAAGTCATATTTGCTTTGAAGTGGGGATACAGTTTAGCTGCAGCTATTCAAGCTTTAGCATAATATTTCCTGAACTACTGAGTCTGCTGCATAAATTTATTATGGTTGATTTGGGAGGTAAAGGTTGCAAACTGGTAATTAAGCAGAGATTGAAATAACTGATATAGAGGCTTGATCCACTTTAATAGGTAATAAACATATAATTGTTCCCTCTTAACCCATTGAAAATATGTTTTCCTTCCTTTCTATATATAAATGCTCCAATAAAATTATATCTTCAATAGAGACATCCGTGGAAAGATTAGCAAGATTTCATTTTTTAACTTTGCCAGGCTAAGTCACTACTTTTTCTTTTTCCTTTTTCTTTTTTAGATAGAAATGAAATATTTTGTCATCTGATAATTAAAATCTTTGCTCATTCATTGCAATGCACTGCTTTTTGGTCATATGTATGCTTTGGGGAAATATGCTAAACAAAAATCCAATTATTTTAATGCAGCTACCCACTGCTTAGATGATTGGGCTAAGTAATTGAGCACATGTCCTTTGGTGAACGAGCCTGGCAATCTGTGGCAGTGGTTACAAGTTCCCTTCATATGGTGTGGGGAGAAGATGTATAATTAAAATCTGTGCACTTTATCCTCTGTTAATCTTGCAAACTTGTCCAAAACAAACACTGAGCAGCAGAGCATTGCATGATGTTGTCAATAATTTCAAATGAACCCTGCTTAGTTTCCTTTACTGAACTGTAATTCTGCTTGGTATTGTAAATGAGATTTACTTTTTCCTTCTCTTCCACCCCTTAACCCACCACCATTTTGCAGAGGCTCAAGTTGGTCTGCTCTCCACAACCTGACTGGGGCCCATTTTTGGCTAAACATCGTGGTGAACGTTACAAGAATATGATTGATCCATTGGGAACTTCCTCCCTGGGACTTAAACTGCCAGTGAAAGATTTAGAACTGGGGACCCAATTCTAGTAATTATTATATTGGTGGCAATAATATATACAGCCTTTATTTTATTTTTCTTTTACTAGTTTCCTGATGTGTCTTTTGTAATTTTTCACAGTGCCTGAAAGTGGTTGCTTAGAAAGTAGGACTTATTGTCGCATGCCATAGTAAAGATCTAGACAGACCACTTTGAGTACTGTGTAACGTGTGTGAGTGTGTGTATTCTTTTTTTCCTAGTGGTGCCCACAGCTTTTTATTTTCATCATGACAGGGCAACGTGGCATGATACAGTAGAGCACACTCCAACTTTTTCCATGTCAGGCCTACCCTAACAGGTCTGGCCACTGCGATTTAAGCATTTTGGTAGGGATATGGCTTCAACCAACATAGGACTAATTCTGCTCTTTTGCACCCAGGGTCCCCCACTGTAACATGTAACCATAATGGGACTGATAATGTGTTATCAGGGTAACCAGAGACCAAGGGAATGAGAACAGAATGTGGTTTGTATGGTCATATTCTGACCTCCCTAATGTTGATGTAAAACTAGGGTGACTTTGACCTAAGTGGAGTCACTTAGATTTACTTCAAGCTCAAAATTTGACCTACTCTGTCTGCAAACATTTCTTCTATAAGTACTGATTATACTGACCTCTGGGCCTTGAGACAACATTTAAACAGTGCACTGGTATGTGAAACATGGCATCAGAATAGAAAGGACTTAATGAGCCATTAAATATTTTTGAGCAAAAATATAAAAGCAAATGTAAAAACTGAATATTTGAGATTAGGACTAAAGTGGTATTTGAGTCTGAAAACTGATTTGAAATTATGCCAAGAACAGGCAGATGGGCACCACTGTTTTAATTAATTTCATGCATTTCCATTAATAATTTGGTATTTGTCTTTTTCATTAGCAAATGTCTCAGTTATACAGAGTAACTAAATCTTTGTTTCATTGGCAAACTGAATATATGATAAATGCAAATGCAGTTTTATTCGTGCCATCCAGATACTCTGAATGTGTTTTCCATGCTTTTGTTTACAATCTCTCCTCAAGAAGCCATCATATAATTTGTGCCTAATTTTATATTCTTACAGTAGTAGGTATATTCGAGTTTCCACATGAGAACAGTTATTAGAACTTAGCCGTGCTGTTTAACTATGTGATTCCCCTATTTGTTCTCTTATAAACTTCTTTATATAACTCATAGATATATTCTTCTCTTTCAACAAATGGGGAAATAGTAAGACCCCAAATTGTCTATATATTATATATATAGCACATAAATTTTTCAAAGCACTATTCTCTCATAACAATCTGAATGTATATAGCCTGCCTGCCTTTTTTTGCTGTCAACCCCTTCATTAAAAAATGAACAATGAAGTCACCAACACAGTTGCAACCTTAGATAGACAAAACGATAAAGAGGAGAAGGAAGAGCTTAGTAGATTGCCATTATAACAACTTACATTACCGCACTACATTCTAAACCACCGCATTTTAGAAATCCAAGATATATGAAGAACAATATACGAGTATTAGTCTTAAATAGTTCTGTTACCTAGGGGGCAGAGTAAAAATAGAGCTTTTACGGGTACATTTAATTACCTGACTAGAAATTACCCCCATTTATTGTAAATGCACTAGAATGAGGGAGAAAAATATGTCTTCAATAATTGGCAAAACCGTAACCTTTATTATCCTGTTGTAGCCTATACATACATATATGAGATTTTTTAAGTGATCAGTGTTCATGTAGTGTGTACTAGTGATGTTTTATGTCCCTATAAATATCTTATCAATCAGTGTAGAGATGGTGAGTTTAGATTAGCTTAGCCTGTTTTTTTCCCCACTGCTGTAGTAGCCAATCTAAATGTACTTTCCTTTTAGGGGACTGTTTATGTCACGCTCTTATTTTGTCTGTTAGTCTTTGCATTACAGGGTCTCAGGTAAATCTTCAGTTAATGTGTCAGTAGATCTATAGATGTGATGTTTTCATCCCATCGAAGAAAAAAACAAAAAACAAACTAGACCTTAATGTAACATTTTCAAAATAATCATTTATTGTGTGTGTATGTGTGTGTGTGTGCGTGCATGTGTGTGTGTGTGTGTATACAAATGTATATTAAAAATATTAATCATTTTGCTGAACTTTATCTTTCACGGGGCAAATAGTGTTGCCAGTTATTGACACTGCTGGAGATACTCAATCCTCAGGCAGTACGTATGAAGCACAATCAAATGATTTGTCATTAAATGAAGTCGAAGTAGATTTAAAAATAGTCTTTTACCACCCCTTTACTCTGCAGCATGCTCCCTTCAGTTTGGGGTCCTTGTCAGACCTTATGTTGTGTAGAGCATGAAGACTGTGACCCTTCCACAAGCATCTCTGCCTTAAAGCTGTGCCAAATTGATTTGCCTTTGCCAGCTGTTTTAATAGAGAGCTGCTATTCCAACTCCTTCTGGGTTTTGTTTCCCTGAGTGAACTGTGTTTGAGAAGCTACCCCTGGCTTGACATAATGAAATTTCATAAATACAATCTGAAAATTAGCCTCTCCAAACACCCATGGCTGAGGGAAAGAAATCTGTAATATACTAAAATGAATTACCAGCAGTCTTTCCAACTGGAAGGGTGAAGAAAAGAACCTAAATTAATTAGCACCACCTAGTGGGAATCATGTGTTTTCATCAGGATGAATAGATTTTGGATTCATCCTTATTGGACAAAACCTAAGTTTGATTTTGGAGCCCAACCTATTTTCTACTAATTACTGCTGTTGTGGCTTTTAAAAATATATCTTGTTAATACTGTCAGGTTTTTATTTTCTAGGGACTGTGAGTTTGCTTAATAGCTATGAATACTTTTCACTGGCTGGGTTATTCTTTCAGAAGATGCATTAGTTTGAACTGAGAGTAACTATCAGTATAAACTGATTACTGCCAAAGTACAAGGACAGTCCTTGCTTGCATAAAAGATCTGTCATTTGAAGGGACACCGTTTAGTTACAATATATCCCCACCTATGTCACTACTGATAGTTTAAGTCATTGGAGGCTAACCTTTTCTTGGCAGGCGTGCCACAAAGTAGTCCCACACCCTTCCCAAGTACCATTCTTCTGCCTGCTCAAATCCCTGCGCAGATCCCTGCCTCATCTGCTGCTCTGTTTTCTGGTTGCTGTCCTCTCTGCTACTGTGCTGCTTGTCCCTTCCCCAATCCGTCGAGTGCTCCACACACAGGCTGCCTGTGCCAGTTGTGGCATGCATGCCACCAGTTGGCCACCCTTGGCTTAAGTTATTAAAAGGAGTGACCATGAAAAATCTAAATTAATTTTCCTGATGCTTTTGGTCAGACTAGTTTTCATTTCTCAGGCTTTGGTCCTGCTCCTATTGAAGTCAGTATTACAGGGTCAGGCCTTCCATTGGAACTTTGAAAACGGGCTAGTCTGTTTCATTTTGTTTCTAGCCAGTTTTGCTTCCAGAGTCGTCTGTGCCAGGGTTTGGCTATCAGAGATGTCAGGGGAAAATTAAATAAACGCAAAAACATAGAATCAAAAATATGAAAAGTGTGGAAATGTTTCTGTTATAGTCTTAAAATGTTTTCTACGCAATTTACCAAAACAAAATGTTGACCTGAAATTACCCAGCAGCATCCTTTGCAATGAAAAGTGGTGTTATAGTTGGAGAAAGCATTTAATTTCTCAGTCTAGTATTGTTTGCAGAAACTTTTTGTGCATTTTCTAAAAAAAAAAAAAAAAAAAAAGAAAGTATTTGGGTAACACTGAGTAAATACTAGAAAATATGTTTAAAAGAGCAGGGAAGAAAAGCCATATTTGCAAAAAAGGTGACCTATATATGGTCTATCGGTCTTGCAAGTAAAAAAAAAAAATCAAATCTGGTGAGGATTGTCTTTATGGCATATTTTTTGTTTGAAATGAGATTGAATTTTTGGACAAGCGGTGATGCACTATTGTATGCATTAAAATTACATTTAATGCAAATCCTTGCCATTTTAAAATTCTTTGGGGTCTTCCTAGTGTTTTTAATATGCAAGCAATGTACAAAACCTGTGTTTCAGTTAGACACAGCAGCACTTTGTTTCGAAAAGAAAGGTTTAACAAAATGACCTTTAATTGAAAAAAGACTTGGAATGTCTTTATGCTAATGTTTCATTTGGGTCAAGTTATCCTTTTATTAGGTTTCATAGATTTCATAGACATCAGGGCTGGAAGGGACCTCGGAAGATCATCGAGTCCAGCTCCATTGATTGTATAAATGTGCTTCAGCACTGAAGATCAGCATTTCCAGTTTACTGTGGTTTCCTCTTGCTATGGAATTCCATTTGCAAGTCCTTTTATATATTATTGGCCTCCGTTTGGACACTTGCGCAGGAGTTCCCTTCTAGTTCTATGTTCCTTGTGGCTTATAATGATTTCTTGCTGGATGTGATATAGCCATCGCTTATTTCATGCAGTCATTGATTTTTCTCTTATTTTGTATCCCTTTTATTCTGCAATCTCAATTTTAGAAAGACTATTATGGACTGCTGATGCTTTCAGCTGAAAGCTGTATGGCTATGCCAAGTGTCGTTCCCAAATAGGATGTAAGTTAGCTAGGCTTTCTAAAAGTTGCCAGGAGGTCTGGTGGGTGTATTAGACACTTGTTTCTTAGCTTGTAGTTAAAACTTCCTGCACATAATATATTGTATCTGTGAAAAGGCCAGAACTTACTGTTCCAGGGAACTGGTACCACAGACACAAAGTGGGGAAAACATTTATAGTACTTATGGTTTCTGCCTGTATATCATCCTCAGGCAGCCTGTAACCAAAGAGGGAGTGTTTTTTTGATGGGTTTAATTTAAAATGTGAGAGCTGGGCTGGACCTTATTGCTTGCAATATTATGATTTGCCCATCATGTTTTAAATACATCTTCAGGTAACCATTTGCCTTATAGGTGTATTTCATTGTTAGTAATATATCAATGTTTGACTAGACTATATCATTGTCCGTCATCTCTGATATGTCA